GTGGTGGCGCACGCCTTTAATCCCAGTACTCGGGAGGCAGAGCCAGGCGGATCTCCGTGAGTTCAAGGCCAGCCTGGTCTCCAAAGCGAGTTCCAGGAAAAGGCGCAAAGCTACACAGAGAAACCCTGTCTTGAAAAAAAAAAAATCCCAAAGACAATACAATCCAGATTCTCTGTGTAATATTCATCTTTACATGGCTTATTTTTTTATATTAATTTTACTGTCTCTTTAAAGACTTTATTTTTTAAAACTATGTATTTGTTTATATAACTGTATTTATCACCATATATCACCTTTTTTGTCTCTTTCAAGCCTACATATATTTTACACACATTGTAAACTATTATATCTGAATCTGTCTTATTGTGAATCTATTGCTTTAAACTGCAGCAGCTATGGCTGCTGGCTCCGCCCACCTCAGCTTCCCAACATGGCGGTGGTTTACCGCCAGCTCTGGGAACTATCGTGGGTCTATGCTTTTAGCCAAGCAGCATGTAGCCCAGAAACCTCTTTTTTTTGTTTTGTACTAGCAAAGTCTAAATCCACCATGCAGCTTAATGTGCCACTTGCAGAGGCCTCATTCTCGCCATACTGCAGGTCGAGCGCGCACGACAGGAACCCACAAGTAGCTCAAACCGGCAGCTGCAGCTCATTTGAGAGAGACAATTAGGAAGCTGTTTTTAGCTCCATTTTAGAATCTTTTCTCAGGTTTTATAAAAGTGGGTTCCACCTATTCCTTCTCCCTCTTCCTGCACAGTCATTCCATAGGCCTATGCACACCCTTTCTATTCTTTTCCCTTGATAAACTCTTAGAGTGGGTTTTGTTGTGCCTTGAGGCGTCTCTTGTATGGTAAACAGCACCACTTAATACATAACAACTACCACCTAACATTATGCTCTTGTGTTTTCTGTATCCACAAGAAAGTGAATGCCTAACAGCAAGAGCAGCCAGTTCAGTTACTAATCATCCCTATTACTTGGTTCAAAATGAACATCCAGTAAATATTTGTTTACCAGGAAATATAGATAGTATAAGAACTATTAATTAGTCTTTTCTGTCAAATAGTGTAAAAGCAAATATTTTTATCTCCCCAACTTGTAAGACTTTTATGCAAAGCTTTTAATCAGGAACCTGTCCACATTCCTTGTAAAACCTTTAGGCAAATGTTTTAATACCTCATCACACCACTTTTGTTTACACAAGGCCTGCAGTATTCTAGAATTTACATGAGTTAAAAGGCCACCACCTTCCCATTTTCTTTCATTTCCTTTACACAAATTCTTTTAAAACTAGCCAATCACGAAAAATTGTGAAGTGGGACCCCAGCCAGTGGGGAAAAGACATAGCCATCCCTGATGATAGAATAAAAACCTAGTCAACTTCCTCTACTGATATGCTCCTTATCCTGGTTTAGCTTTTGGCACACTCTTTTTACAAAAATAAATTGCCTTACTGAACTACGTTCACTTTGTTCATGTGTTCCTTACTGCAACACTGAAAGAATTCTTGGTTTGAGTCTATCAATTGCTGTATAGATAATGATAAGATAAAGGGGTAGATTATTGAACCTACTTTTAAAGAACAACTTGTTTAAAAATGTTTTACATGCTATGGATTTTAGTTTATTGATACAAATTTAAAGTTAATTTTGTTATACTATATATATATTTCTACTCTCATTGGAGGTATTATGTTTATTTAACTCATTTAAATTGTAATGGATAATTAAGAAATACAGATTAATAACTAGTCTTCTATGATAGTCAAACTTATAAGTCATGTTAAGTTTTCTAGATATACATAGATATAATTCAATTAGGTAGGTAATCTTCAAACACTTCAAAGACCTACAGAATATGGCATTTAAAATGTTTTAAAAATTTAGACTTTCTGAACAATGAGACATGTCTGCTCCTGGCAGCACCAATATACTTCGGAGAGGAGGATGGGCATCAAAGACACTCCCTATGGAGTTTATCTACTTCTTGGCGAAAATAGCCATTTGGGCAAAAAACTGTTCTTGCCTGGATTGCTTGATCAACTGGACATGCAGGACCCATAGGAAGGTGACCACTGAACTTTGCTTGGCAAAATGGTCCTTCAGATTCCTGCTTCACAGAGGAAACTGCCAGACATTCTACAGGACACAGAGAAAAGTGACTGAGAGACTATAGCCCTGTGGGCTGAAGACAGATGCCCCAACTTTACAGAAGAACTTTGGATGACTGCCCAGGCTGCCAGCTGTCTCTGTCTACTCTCGCAAGACTCACAAACGTTGTTTGCATCCTTTCTCCAGTTTCTCAGGTAATAGTATATCCTTCTGGGGTCTTTGATGTAGTTAAAGACTAGATAGTTATAATTGCCTTAGTTTTGATAAGAGATAAGTTAGATATAAAACCTTAGACTCACAAGTATAAGATAGATAGGATATCTTCTTTAATTTTGCCAAATACAAATAGACTAGATATTATAAACAGACTAATTATTTTAACTGTACTTCTTGCTTGATAATTGTTTTGTTATATATAATTTTACTGTGTTAAAGTTAAAACCTTCATTTTTTTTTTTAAAAAGGGGGGAGTGCTATGGATGATTGATTGATAAATAAAATGCTGATTGGCCAGTAGCCAGGCAGGAAGTATAGGCGGGACTAGCAGAGAGGAGAATTGGGGAAACAGGAAGGCGGGGTGGAGGAGATACAGCCAGTCGCCACTAGGAGGAGCAGCATGTAAAGTACCGGCAAGCCAAGATCCACGTGGCAAGGTATAGATTAATAGAAATGGGTTAATTTAAGATAGAAGAACTAGATAACAAGCAGCCTGCCATGGTCATATAGTTTGTAAGCAATATAAGTCTCTGTATGTTTACTTGGTTGGGTCTGAGCGGCTGCGAGACTGGTGGGTGAGAGAGATTTGTCCTGACTGGGCCAGGCAGGACTGGAGAAAACTCCAGCTACAAGAAATAACTCTAGGGCTGGAGAGATGGCTCAGGCCTTAAAAGATAGGCTCACAACCAAAAATATAAGAGAAATGGCTTTTTGTAATAAATTACTATGCACTGAAGCATTCCAGTAGCCTTCACAAAAACCCATGGTAGGAGTGAGAGGATGCCAGGGTTTCAGCCATCTTAAAGGTCAGACAGTGAGCAGCAGCAGGCCCTTGAACAAATTGTTCAAAAAAAAAAAAAACCTCACCAAAGGATGTGCTGCCCCTTCACCCCTAGGCGCAGACAATAAGGAACTACACATAAACAAGTTGCAGAAAGTTCCTGCCATAACCTGAAGGATATGATATGACATAACTGGCGTATAATGAACAAAGTACCAGATATGTCCCGGGGGATGTTTTCTGCTGTTATAGACTGTATACCATCGCTGTCAGAGGGAATGAATTTCCTGCAGAAAAAAGGGGTGTTTAACTCTCAGAGGAAATGGGTCTGCTGGTGATATAGATGTGACGGCATAAACTGCCAGAGGATATGGCAATTTCCTTGCAGCTGCAGCTCTCCAATCAGTTCAAACCAAGCGTCTCTAACCTGAAGTAAGCACCAGTACTGAGCTGGTGACTATATAAGGTTGGAATTCCCCTAGACTCCCACCCTAACCACTATAAAAACCCTATCCTGTTACTGCTTGGGGTTCCTCTCACTCCATCGCTGCTAAGGATGGACGAGGGGACTGGGTTTAAACTCTTCGCTTTTGCATTCGAATAGGTCTCTTGGTGATCTTTGGGGACATGGGACTTTGAGTGCAACAAGAGGCAGAGTAGCTTGAAAGTGTTCTGTTACACAGGATAGCCTGAAGCTTGGGGAAAAAGACAAAACAAACAAACAAAAAAAAACACTCTTGAAAGGTCACAAGGCAACAACAAAAAAAGAAAAACTAGGAGGTAAAACCCTCCAGATTTCACTAATAGCAGAATCTAGAATCAGGTTGGCTCTAATCAAAAACTGCCACATTTGTTGAGAATGTTTTTATGGTAATCAGAAAGGCATGATTTTCAATTGTGGCACCATATTCTCTTCCAATTTCTTTTTCTTTCAAAACTGAGTCTCACTGTGTAGCTCTGGCTGTTCTGGAACTCACTATGTAGACCATTGCCATTATTTTCTTGCCAAACCCCCAAAACAAGAAACTCAGCCAATGAACACTTAGTTTTCAGCATATATCAAAAAAAAAAAGGTTAGTCATAAAAACTTAAACTTTACTAAAACTTTCAAGTAAATTTTACATATAAATACATTTATACCTAGTACATGTATTTTAATAACAAATGCAAAACACTGAAAATGCTTAGATGAATCCTTTCATCCCATAAATACAAAAGTTTTTTGGTCTTGGGCCTTATAATTAATTCGAGGTAAATTTACACATACAAAACCCACAAATCCCTTAAAATTCACGTGATGAATTAAAAGGAGAGGATATCAAGTACATATCACATGGCTGAAGACATCCTGTCTAGTCACAGTTCCACGGGACCCAGCAGTGATAAAAGTCAAGCAATTAGCGAAAGTTTGAGTAAGTTATACCTCTTAGGGTTGGTAAATATCGTGCCAGCCGCCACGATCATACGATTAACCCAAACTAATTGTTCTTTGTGTGAAACGTGTTTTATGATGACTCTCAAATAGAATTAAAATCCAACTTATACGTGAAGATTCATTGTTAAACCTAAATCCAATACCGAAAGTAATTCCAGGCTGGTCTTGAGCTCACATAGATCCATCTGCCTTTGCCTCTCGAGTGCTAGAATTAAAGGCATGCACCATTACGCCCTTCTCTCATTGTTAACAGGTGTCCACTCAGGAAACGAAAACCTCCGTTGCCCAGCGCTAAAATGGCCGCGTCGGCTTCGCAGCCCACACCCAAAATGAACGCTGACTGTGACGTTTCCGACCTCAGATCACCATTGGTCCCATCCCTAAGCCAAGACCCCGCCTTCCCGCGCTGCGCCCGCCCTTCCGTCAGAGGCCTGGCCTTGATTGGCTGTTTGGACTATTTACCTCTTGTCCGGATGTTGCGTCACGCGGTGAGTGGCGCAGCTGCGGAGGAGCGGGCAGAGGGAGGTCGCGCGCTCTCGGTTTGGCTGGCCCGGAGGGGAGCCCCGTGGTAGAGGTGACCGGAGCTGAGGTACAGTCCTCTCCGGACGGGCTGCGTCCCTGCGGGGTCTCGGCCGGCCGCTGCGGCCGGGACGGGAGGGCGTGGCTGGCCCCCGCCGTCCCTCTCCCTGGGCAGGGAGCCGCTGAGTCAGCCCCCCGGGGACCCGCGCGGCCCACCTCGTTGGCCGGGCTGAGGGTGCCGTGGGGTGGTGCGTGGACGCGGGGGCCGCGGGCTAGCGGTGAGGGGGAAGGACCAGGCGCCCGAGCACCGGTGCGCCAGGAAGCCTCCAGAAGGGCCGGCTCTAGTTGGTACAAAACTAGCCCCAGGCCCCGTTTCTGAGGTCCAGAACCCTCCCTTAAATAAGTGTGGCAGATAACTGTCTTGGGCCCTGACACGACGTAAGGCCACTCAGATTCGGGTCTCTGTCCGGGTCAGTAGGCTAAAGGCTGAGGAAGCGACAGGTTGAGATGATGTAATGGCATGAAAGTACCAGAAGGGCCCTCGGTTTTTTTTCCCCAGCAAGGTCAGATGCGTAGAGTTCTCTGTGCACTTCATAGTTCCTGTGGAAGGACTCTCGGGTATTTTAAAGTAACGTTCTTCACTTTGAAGATCCTGGTTAAGATTTCTTTCTCATTACATTCCCAGAGTTTTAAGGTAAATCTTGAGCGATTTCAAAGTCCCAAGGCTCTGCTTTGGTCCAGTTTTCTTGTATTTACAAATGGAGGAAAAAAGACGCCAAAGGATAGTTACTTGCCTAAGATTCATCACATCTCATTGGCCAGAAATGTGCATTTAGCATTACAAAAGACCTCCGCGTAGCCATTTATCTGATATAGTCTTCCTCGAGCTAAGACAATTCAATTTTAGTGTGTTGGGGGAGAACTGTTTGTTTACCCAGTTGAGGACACCAGGAGTCTTAACAGTAGGGAAACGTAGCTGGGCAATTATGTTTATTTTGATCAGGTGTTATGTAGTAGTGGAATAAAATAACATAATTGAATGTGTCTGTCGTATCTTAATATTTGAAATATTTACTAGACATTTCCCATGCCTGGCTTCTGTAGATGTCTGTTAGTCTTGTACAGTTTGACCTCAAATGGTTATTCATCTTTTCCTTGGATAATGTTTTTCCTGTGCTGAAAAATTTCACAGATTCTTTTAACTTTACTCATTGAGTGATGGTATAATATCAGTCAACACTACGATTGTAAAACCTGTCAGAATTTGTAATTGTGTTAACATAGTAACATTCATTCTGCGTTACATATATCTAGTTAAACTGGGATTTATATTATTGGGTGGCCCATTCAAAATTGTATTTCATGAGTTAGAAGGGACAAGGGGAGGATTCAACATTAAGAATTAATGAGGCTACTGTTGTGGGGGTTTGTTTTGTTTTGTTTTCTGCAGAACCTTGATTTGTTTCTTCTATTCTTTGGTTATTCTGTTCCCTTCTCAATTTTCTTAATTATTTCCCCTCTACCTTTTTAACTAGCATTTCAGATCTGCTTAGTGAACCGGTGTATCACCCACCATGCTGGTTGCAAGGCTCGTGTGTCTCCGGACACTACCTTCCAGGGTTTTCCAGCCCACTTTCACCAAGGCCTCCCCACTTGTGAAGAATTCCATCACGAAGAATCAATGGCTCTTAACACCCAGCAGGGTAAAGAATGGTTTTTCAACATGGGTTTCCACCCCCATCCAGGTTTTTTGTTTTAGGATTTCTTTTTTCCCCTTTTTTTGGTTGGTTAATTTGTGAGTTGCCTGTGAGATTCTCTGGTTGTGCTTAGCTTACCCTCTTTAGTGACTTACTGTAACAGTGAGTAAAGCAACAGTAAAGTTTCCAGTGAGCGTTCTCCCTATCAATTTACATTATTCTAGTCTCTCCTTATCACAAATGAGAGATTTTATACCTTATGTCTCTTTGAGTTTCTCACTCAGATAACTGAGAGTAAACATTGGGAAATTGAGTTACATGATACAACAAAAGGATTGTAAGTGGGAACTATAGTCAAATGCTTAAGGACCCAGAGATATTACCGGTTGGTCCAGTTGATCAATTAGTTACTAAAGATGATGTTATAGTTTTTGCTTAGATGAGGATAAAAATCTGTCAGGTTATCGAGAAAGGCCTATTTTCTTTGGCAACAGGCTTTTTCCTTGGAGACAAGATCTTAATCTATAAAACTAGCTGACCTCCAGATAGTGATTTCTCCTGCCAGGTGCTGAGATTGCAAGCCAACTAATAGGTCTGTCTTCTGGCATTTAAATGAGTATACCATGTATGTTTTTATGTGTGAAGTAATTAATATAGAGAAGAGAATATACAGTAGTTAGAAGGAGATAATTTCCTCTTAAAATAACTTTGCTACTACTGGGAAAGAACTAGCTAAATGATTGAATGCTTTCCTACAGTTCATGAGGTGTTAGGTTCAACCCTCACTGCCTGGGGAAAATTGTATAATCATTTCAGAGATGGAGCACAGGTCAACCTACATCTAATCTTGGTTAACTTTTATACTGATACTGTATTAGTGTAAAAAGGTCCTCTGTTTTATTGACATACTGTTGGTCTGAATGGTACATGTCTTTTTTTGTATATGTCAGGAATATGCTGCCAAGACAAGAGTAAGGATCCACCGTGGGAAAACTGACCAAGGACTGAAAGAGGCAGCTTTGGAACCATCAATGGAAAAAATTTTTAAAAGTAGGTGGAAGTTCAGTACTTAATGTGAAGCTGCTAGGTGTGTTTAAGAAGTCTATGAACAACTTCCTGAAAATACATTCAAACATGTGTATGTGTATTTTCTGCAAGAAAGGTCACACTTCTAAGGAAATCTGATAGTCCAAAAAAAGTGGTGCTTTGCATTGGGTTTGATATTTCTGGTTATATTAAGATTTACAGTTTTTAGGGGGGAACTATTATCATATTATTATCTAAAGTGGTAGAACCTGTTCAGGAAGTTTGTTTCAGGTTATTTAGAATCTTCATTCAAGCATGTGTTTGTGAATGTCTCAAGTTAGAAATAAATCACTAAAACAGATCTTAGTAAAAGCTAACTCATTCAAGAAGAGTCCATGAGCTTTCCTAAGTCCTTTTAAGAGAGCACTGTCTTTTTAATTTTATATTTATTCATGTGTATGTGTGAGTATCCACTAGGTGTGTGCCAGTGCTCACAGAGGCCAGAAGAAGACATCTCATCTCCTGGGACTAGAGCTATAGGTGATTATATGCCACCTAAAGTGGGTACTGGGAACTGAACTCAGGTCCTCTGAAAAAGAGCACCATGAGCACCTTCCATAGAGTTGATAAATTTTCAATATTCTAAAGCAAGAGTGTCTATCCCTTTGTTGGGCACATAAACATTAATAGTATTTTTCTGTGTTGATTCTCTAGACTCACTTAAAGCTTCACCTGTGTTAATACCTAAGGCACATTGTGGAATGACTGATACCATTTTTTTAAAGGTTTATTCATCTGGGATATGTTCTTGCTATGTAGACTCTGCTGGTCTTAGACTCATGATTTTTTGCCTCAGTCTCCCAAGTGCTTTAACAGTTACATGTACCTCTGAACCAAAATGCTCCTCTATTCTTTGCAGTTATTATTGTACATTTGTTTCAAGAGTGTCCTTTCCTTCTGGTCTCCTAGTGTTGAGAATTCTCTATATCCCCCATGATACTACTGTGAAGAAGCAGTTATGATTTGATCCCCTCCTGAATATTTTGAATAGTTAACCCCAGCACTTTCATTTAGTTGAAATGTGCTGACCCTAGCCTGTGTTTGGTGCTGTGCTTGCAGTTGATCAGATGGGAAGGTGGTTTGTTGCGGGAGGAGCAGCTGTTGGTCTTGGAGCGCTGTGCTACTATGGCTTGGGAATGTCTAATGAGATTGGAGCTATCGAAAAGGCTGTGTAAGTAAATTGTTCCCAAACAACCATAATCCTTCCTTCAAATAAAGGGTCCCTTTTTCTCCCCATCCTTGAGACTCTGGTCACTTTTGGAATGCCTTGTCTGGTTTTCATTTTTGAATGTGCATAATTATATAAAGTCTCTTTCGTTCATTTGTCATAGATTTATTCAAGCCTATATAAATATCTTTTATCAAGGTTATGCTTTCAGACAAGGAGAAAATGTATTGCTTTTTATGTGTATCAAATGTATTTTTTTTTCCCCGAGACAGGGTTTCTCTGTGTAGTTTTGCGCCTTTCCTGGAACTCACTCTGTAGACCAGGCTGGCCTCGAACTCACAGAGAGATCCACCTGTCTCTGCCTCCCAAGTGCTGGGATTAAAGGCATGTGCCACCAATGCCCTTCTAATGTATGTTTATGTCATTTAATCATAAATAGCTCCAAGCTGTGAATAATTATTTACATCATAGTTGGGTCTGGTGGTGCACGCCTTTAATTCCAACACTAGGAGATGAGTCCAGGACAGCCTGGTCTGTGGTCTACAGAGCCAGTTCCAGGATAGCCAGGGCTATACAGAGAAACACTTTCTTGAAAAACCAAAAACAATTATTATTTCCATCATAATTAGATTGAGAACATTGAAGTGATTTATTCCAGAGTCTTTTGTGTCTAACAAATTATTTACTCAGAATTGACACCCATAGTTCTGTAAGCTAACCTTGTCATGTTTCTTACAGAATTTGGCCTCAGTATGTGAAGGATAGAATTCATTCTACTTACATGTACTTATCGGGGAGTATTGGTTTAACAGCTTTGTCTGCCTTGGCAGTAGCCAGAACACCTGCTCTTATGAACTTCATGATGAGAGGCTCTTGGGTGGTAAGTTAACTACTTGCTATTTTTCTGGGGAAGGTGGTGCTGGGTGATTGGTTGTTTTTGTTGCTTTTTGGTATAAAGATCAAAAGAGTTCGTCAAGTAGGACCGTTAATATTTCAGTGCTAAAGAACTTGCCTAGAATCTGTTGAACTATAGGTTCAGTTCTTGATATAGGGAAGAAAAAGAGATTTGCTAAAATCTATAATGTGGGAAAGGGAGAGGACATTAAATGGAAGAATGCTATATTACTCTTTATCAAATACGTGTTTTAATCAGATCAAAAGAGTTGAAACTGAACTTAGGAGCAGATAGCAAACAACTTCTGTTTTGTACCCACTTGGTAAAAAATAAAGTAAATGTGCCTAGTGATGATGGCACTTGCCTTTAATCACTTAGGAGGCAGAGGTGGGTAGATCCCTGAGTTCCAAACCAGCCTGGTCTACAGAGTGAGTTCTAGGATAGTCAGGGCTACAGAGAAACCTTGTCTTAAAAACAAAAACAACCAAAAAACAAAGTAAATGCAAATCCACATTGAGAGCAATGTGAACCTCCTGTCTCCAAAGGCCAAGCTGTCTGCACTGTTAGAGAAAACAAGTTAACATGGTGCTGCTGCTACTCCTGTGCTGCCTGCCTTACAGGTGCTTTTATCAGTGGATAGTTTTTCTTTTGTTTTTGGTTGTTTTGTTTTTGTTTTTTGAGACAGGGTTTCTCTATGTAGCCTTGGCTATCCTGGAACTCGATCTGTGGACCAGGCTGACCTCAAACTCACGGATCCACCTGTCTCTGCCTCCCAAGTGCTGGGATCAAAGGTGTGTGCCACCACCGACCAACAAAGTGGATGGCTATTTCTTAAGCACTTGCTGTTGTGCTAGCTAGCACTGTGCTTTCAGGTATGGATTCTGCTCTGGTCAAGGGTAGAGGAGGTCCAGAGTGCACCATATTGGATGTGCAATAAGACATAGAAAGTTGAAAGTGAGGTAAAAAGTCAGCTGAAAGACTGCCTCTGACCATCTGGGCAGCCCTGTAGAAGAGCCTTAGTTCTTTTTTATCTTATGTGCATTGGTATTTTGCCTGCATGTATATGTGTTGGGTTCCATGGAACTGGAATTACAGTTGTGTGCTGCCATGTGGATGTTGGGAATTGAACTTGGGTCCTCTTAAGTGCTCTTAACTGCTGAGCCATCTCTGCAGCCCCTGGTATTTAGTTCTTCAGGGTTGTTGGTAGCAAACGTGTTTTGTTTCAGAAGAAGACAAGGCCAGTCCAGGAGGACAAAGGAGAAGAGTTAGGAGCTAGGAAGACCTAATGGGTAAAGTGGTTTATAGTCCCATTCAAGTGAAATTTCAAGTGAGAGGAGATGCTTATAAAGGATATCTTTGATTTCCAAGCTGAGGCGAAGAACCTATCAGAGACCACTGTACAGACTGGGGTGGCAGAAAATGTGATTCTGTTTGAGTGTTAAGAACTAATGTGGGAGACACAAAGCAAGTGCACCAGCTGTTCCTGGAAGTCTCAAAATGAGGGATTAGAACACAGACTACACTGAGTGTGGGACTGGGTGAGGAAAGAGATGGAAATTAAATAAAACTGTGTCCCATAGTTGGGAACCCAGAACTGTTAAGTTTGGAATCCATGACATTTCCTACGTTCTATATTCCAAGAGGAGAACTTATGGTAATATAGACATTACATAGTCTTAAAAGCCATGTTTACCAAGAGGAAAACCATTATAATAATATAGCCATTTGAACTTAGTCTAAGGACCATACTTACCAGGTGGGTATCCTGACTCTTCTAGCCTAGAGGTTCATGGCAAAGAATAGGTGAAGGTGAATTCTCACTAGGGAAGTCCATTTGAATCAAAGCAAATAGTTTAAAATGATGCTTAGCATAATAGACACAGCAGTATTCTGAAAGATTAAAATGTACATAAAAATATAATACCAAAGATGACAAGGAAGCTCTGTGGTGAGACCATAACCTCTGCAGCAAAATGTCACTCTTCTGCTACTAAGAATAGTTAAGAGAAATGCTTGAGAAAGCTAGGTAAATGTTACAGAAAGGAGGGAGGAGCCTTTTGGAGGTAATACAGATAGGTAAACAGGAAAGCACAGTTTTTCTCAAGTGCCTTTGGAACAGGAGGAGAGTCATCTGCCACTATTGGGCAAAGTGCCTCCTAGAAAGCTTCTGAGATAAGTTTATTAAGTCAGGTAGTAAAGTAGGGGTGGGTGCGTGACTTGTATCTAGAGGTAAGAGCACAACTTTATGGAATTGGTTCTCTCCTTTGTATTCTGAGGTTTGAACTCAGATCCTCAGGCTTACGTTTGGGGCTCAGCAAGTAACTTGCCATCTCACTGGCCTGCCAGGATGTTTTCTGTTGGTTGGGTTGGTTTGTTTTGTTTGGTTACTTTTGGGTGGTTTGTTTTTTGAGATGGGTCTTTGTATCAACCCTTGGCTGTCCTAGAACTTAGTATGTAGACCAGGCAGGCCTTAATTGAGAGATCCACCTGACTGTGCCTCCCAAGTGCTGGAATTAGTGCATCCTTAAAGGCATGGTGGATACAATTAAGGAAACATTTATTCAGTCCTACCAGTTCAGTATCACTAAATGTAGAATGTGGAAAGGTAAAAAGCAAAAAAGGATTTTTAAAGGAAAATATACAATTGAGATAAACAACTAGAAATTTCCATGAACAAAGGATGTATGGAGCAGTTTGTAGTAATTGTTTCTCCCATCAGAAAACAGTGAAGTAGAATCCATTGTTTGTCAGCATCGGTTTTTCTTGTCCTCCACAAAAGCAGCTGTTTGATTTTCCTAGGTTTACATCAGGTTGAAAGTTACATCTGTGACAGTAGAGGGCACTCTTGCCAATGTGGTCTGACTAAAGCAGAAATGAACCAGAAACCTAAGTGTACTAGAGAAAAACAGGATTCAGTTTCTTATTCTTCATAGTGATTAATTGTACTTGAATCTGTGGGCTTCTACTTTAAGGATATGTTTGTTTGTTTGTTTTTAATGTATGTTTTCTAGACAATTGGTGCAACCATTGCAGCCATGATTGGAGCTGGAATGCTGGTACAATCAATACCGTATGATCAGAGCCCAGGCCCAAAGCATCTGGCTTGGATGCTTCATTCTGGTATGTTCTGTTTGAAATTCTTATTAAACTATCTGGAATAGTATTCACTTTCCTGTTTGTTATTTCTTTGGTATGTTTTATTTTGTTCAGTTTTTGAGACAGGGTCTTGACATGTGTGCCACACTGGCCTGCAGCTTGCTGTCTTCCTGCTTAAGTCCCTTGACTCACCTGACTTAAATATTGGCCTTTTTGAGTGGCTCTTCAGTTGTATTAACTTGGCAAACCTCATTTTTAGAAAACAGAATTTCATACAGTCATTGTTGGTGCATTATTGCCAGGCCTTTGCTTTAAATGTATTGGTATTGAAGGTTGGTATTAAGATAGCTCTGAGGTTATGCTGTGAGATACACTATGTATAAAGAGCTGAGAGCCAGCAAAGTTCTCAGCAGATAAAGGCGTTTGCTGCACAAGCCTGGTAACCTGTGTTCAACCCCTGTGGTCCCCACGAAAAGATAGAAGAGAACTATACCGAGTTGTCCTCTTGCCTCCACAGTATGGCATGACGTGTGCCCACACAATACTATGTATACATGCTTATACAATAGTAATTTAGAACAAGAGCCAGGTCTGGTGGTACAGGCCTGTAATCATGCCTACTCAGGAGGCTGAGTCAGGGAGATTACAAGTTTAAAGACAGCCTAAGTAGCATAGTGAGACACTGTCCTAAAAGACAGATCCCAGGTTCATAGCTCAGTGGTATTAGGCTTGCTGCACAAGCCCTGTCTTGATCCCCAGCACCATGAAAACTAGGAGAAGCAACTACATTATTTCTCTATTGAAATAATTTCATAACCTGGAATCTTCCAGCTGGAGGGGTTCCATTGATGTTTGGTGATTGGCAATAGCATGTTCCTGTAATAGGTTGTTGTTGTTTTTTGTTTTTTGTTTTTTGTTTTTCCCTAAGACAAGGTCTCACTGTGTAGCTTTGGCTGTCCTGTGTGGACCAGATTGGCCTCGAACTCACAGAGATCCGCCTGCCTCTTCCTTCCTAGTACTGGGATTAAAGCCATGTGCCACTATGCCCACCTCCCCTGTAATTCTTAAGGAAGGTTTTTTTGTAAATTCTGACAACTGAGGTTTCTTTCTATGCTTCTTATTAGGTGAGGCAAATCTAGTGCCTGCCTGGGAAGCCTCTACATTTCTGAGTTCCATCACATACTTCCTTTCAGTAATCGTGAAATCTAGTGGTGGTCTCCAATCACATTAGTGACCTACCCAGACTTTTACAAAGTTACTTGTGGGAGACCAGCTCCCACATTTATTTACCCCAGGGACTCTTGAGGAGTGAGGGATAAGAGACTTAGGTAGAAATAAAGAGGGGAGAGAAACAGAAATGCAGGATAGACTCAGATGGGCCTGGATCCTTATCCACTGGCCTAGAGCTTTATTCAAAAGGGCTTTTTATAATAATGCCAGTGGGAGGAGCAAAGGACCTCCCCCTTGCTAGATACAGCCAAGTGTAGACCCTTCCGAACACCTGGTACTCAAGCCCATTGTCCAGTCAGCCTCATGCAGTTCTGGGTAAAGCCACTAAGAAACCTAGAGAGGCTCCAACAGTTACTAAAAATGCACACTACTGTTTGTATTTTAATTGTGACCCAGTGTTGATGTAGTAAAGAATTTGTGTAGCCATTGATTGTATAATTTGGATGGTAGGGTAGAACTACCCAAACATGAAATTTACTGTACTAACATTATTTAACACAAAGTACAGTGTGAAGATAATCTTCACAGTGATATTTTCTCTTTGATAGTCATTTGGTAGATCTCTAACAAGACCTTGCTCTCTCCCCAGGTGTGATGGGTGCAGTGGTGGCTCCTCTGACATTCTTAGGGGGGCCTCTTCTCCTGAGGGCTGCATGGTACACTGCTGGTATCGTGGGAGGCCTCTCTGCTGTGGCCATGTGTGCACCCAGTGAGAAGTTTCTGAACATGGGAGCACCCTTGGGAGTGGGCCTGGGCCTTGTCTTTGTGTCTTCACTGGGTAAGCTGCTATGCTTTGAAGGGTTTGTGTTCCTGAAGCATTAAGATTTATTTTAAAAAGTTGTTTAAAAGATAGACTAATTTGATTGTGTTTGATTATTTGACATCATAAAATCTTAGCTCATGGTTAAGTGTTCATTTTATTAAATATCTCTGAAATGATCAAGCTGACTTAGAAATTACTCTACTGTTGGCACATAACCCATTAGAGGAAAAGCGATCCGTGAGATTGTATAAGCACCTACTCAAATATCAGATATACCAAGGTAGCTTTAAATAATGGAAACTATAAGTGCAGTTGCAAGAAATCCCTTTTATATATATATATATATATAAATACATTCTATTTTTTTCCCCTTATTTCAGGGTCTATGTTTCTTCCCCCTACCACAGTGGCTGGTGCCACTCTGTACTCAGTGGCAATATATGGTGGATTAGTTCTTTTCAGTATGTTCCTTCTGTATGATACTCAGAAAGTAATCAAACGTGCAGAAATAACACCAATGTATGGAGTTCAAAAATATGATCCCATCAATTCGTAAGTAAACTTTACTGTTACTGCCATATTACATGGGTATGGCTTTTTGGTTCTGGTAGCATTAGTTTCACAAGGTACCATCATAGCGAAGTAGCATAAGATAGGTGGCCTAAAATTTACTCTCTTCAGGCCAGACATGGGAGGAAAAGGCAAGCAGATGTCTTTGAGTCTGAGGCCAGCCTGATTACGGAGTTCCAGGATATCCTGTCTTGAAAACCCACCAAAAAAATTTCTCTTTTTCAAGGCCAGAGTACTAAAGGTGTGAGCATGGTGGAGAACTTAGAAGACCTTGGGTGAGACTGTATCTTCTGTCTCAGCTGTATATCACTGCTGGTGATCCTTGACTAGTAGATACCCACCTTCATCTTCACCTGCCATTGTCTCTGTGCTGTATGTCTTTGTTCTCTTACTTTTTTAAAAGATTTATTTTTATTTTATGTGCATTTGTGATTTACCTGCATATGTCTATGAGGGTGCCAGATCCCCTGGAACTGGAATTACAGGCTGCCATGTGAGTGCTGGGAATTGAGCCTAGGTCCTCTGGAAGAGAAGCCAGTGCTCTTAACTGCTGAGTCATCTCTGTAGCCCCATTTCTCTTATTTTAAGAAGGCCACCAGACATATCCTATTCCTATATGGCCTCATTCTAACTCACATTGTAATTGTATCTGTTTTGTTTTTTTTTTTGTTTGTTTTTTTTTTTTGAGACAGGGTTTCTCTGTGTAAGCCTTGGCTGTTCTGGCTGGGACTTGTTCTGTAGACCATGCTGGCCTTGAACTCACAGAGATCTGCCTGCCTCAGCCTCCCAAGTGCTGGGGATTAAAGGTGTGCTACCACCACCCACATAATTACATCTTTGAAGACTATATTTCCAAATAAGGGCATACAGGACTTCCAACAGGTTAAATTTTGCTACTTCTGTTGGAATATAGTTTGGGCTCTCTACTTAGAAAACTGATTGCATTGCAGCTGAGTATAACATTCAGGTATCACTTACAAGTAGTGTCTGTTGGAAGGCACATAATTAACTGAAATGTTTAAGGAGAGGAAACCAGTTCTGAAAATATTTTTCCTTGTGTTTGTGCTAGAGACATTCAATAATACAAAATAAAATAATGTTTTCACTTTTCTTGAATTCTGCCTAGAGTTCCAGAGTGTCTCTCACATTTTAGTAATGCTTTCCCTTACTAAAAATAAAATAATGTAATAGCTTTTTAAAATGTTGCTATAACACTTGGAGTTTTATAGCAGCTTTCTTAAAGAAGATGAAATGGATATATTCTATTTGAAAATGCCAGACTGTCTTGCAAGTTTTTAAAGGTGTGTTTCTTTGATTTGTTTTGGTTATGCCATTGTCTAGCACTCAGGTTTGATCCTCACAGCAGGATGTCAAAGAATACATAATCCTTTTAAAAATTGTGTTCTGCATTTAAAAGATGATTCTTCCAGAAGGACAACTGAGCATTATCTAGTTTAGGACTCTAGCTGACTTTTAAACATTGTATTTTTAGTTTCTAACTAATAACACTAGGAATAATGAGTATTATTTTTCCCCTTTTTTTGTACTATGAAATAGATTGTTATCTTTATTATTAGAGTCACATCTTTCTATAATTTTCTTTTCTAGGATGTTGACAATCTACATGGATACATTAAATATATTTATGCGAGTTGCAACTATGCTAGCAACTGGAGGCAACAGAAAGAAATGAAGTGACCGCTTGTGGTGTCTCTGCTCACTGATGCTTACTTGTTTATTAGGAGCAGATAGTCATTACAGTTTGCACTAGCAAAACACCTTTGAGGTTTAGAAGATAACCTGTCACCATGTTGAAAATGTTCAGTAATGTGACCCTTCAGGCTTGCTTTTTCTTTTAGAGAATAAATTCAATAGATGTCTTCCAAATAAGCACATATATTTCCACCTGTCATATTTGAGTAATTTAAAAATGCTTTGATAAGTGTGGGAACTAAGATTTGTGTTACAAGATTTCAAGTATTTTTTTTTTAATTTATTGGATAGGTAAAATTTAGCAAATTTGCATGTCTTCATATTTTGGGGAGCTTGCAGAATATTTAAGATCATGAATAATGTAGAGGTTTTCGTATAGAGATCAGAGAGAGGTAAAAAGTCACCTGCAGTCATATTTTGAATGCTTAGAAGAGCACTGATTATGGTGAGCCAATAAGAGACGTCTGAGATGTGGAAACAATTGACCACTGTTCATGGTCTGTGACTGAAGACACAGATGTTTCTTTCCGGTGTTGACTACTCACTGTCAGGATAGTCCAGAGTGTTCATCCTTCAGAGACTCCTGGTGGAATTATGTATATGTGAGTTTTACTGTGAAGTCGTCTTAAACAAATGTCCTTAAAACTATACTCACTATAACATACTCCAAAGCACGAAATTTGTTTTGAAATATATGATCTATTTGTAGTTGCAGAAATTTGTTGAGTGTTTTCTCAGTGTCTAATTGAAAGCATGCTTGCTTCTCTCATCACAGCTTTGACAGCTGTCAGAAAAGCCTCTGTGGCTTATGCTAAGATTAGGAACCTTTTTTCTTCTAAAACTGTTGGCTTCCTATGTTCCTTCTCAGGTTAAGCATGAGCAAACAAATCTGACTTAGTTGACCTTGGGAACTATTTGACTGAAAAATACAATGGGGAGGTGCTTCTTTAGCCTCCCTTAGTACTTTCTCTCCGTGTACACCAGTGACATTTGTAAGGTTTTAATACAGGTCAGTTATGTGGGGGTGAGGGGGGCTTCAGTGTAGTCTGTATAAATATATACACAATTGCTATTTTTGAGAAATATTTATTACAGTAATCAAGAAATGACTAGTTTAATCATTTTAAAGTACACAGAATGCTTATTTCTAAAATAAAAAGTTATAGCTAGATGGTGATTTCTGTACGTTTTTCTCTCTGAAACTTCCACCCCACTGGAGTCTTGAATAAGAAAGCAACTTGGGCTTTTGCCCCTCAGTACATACTGCAGTCTGGTAAGATGGGGAGACTTGTGGCTGGGTGGCCTGTCTCCATTTGGATCTCAACTCAAATTTTCACTGATTTCTTAATTGATGTGGGACAAATTACCTAACCTCCCCAAACCCAGTTTCCTCGTCTGTAAGATGGAGACAACATCTACCCTGTGGGGTTAAGGCTAAATTCAGACATGGTTGGACATTGTCTGAAATTTAGCTGTTGCTGCTGTTTTTGTTTTTTTCCCTTAAGTAAAAAAGACTAAATGCCTCATTTTTGTCTTTTAGTCTCCATAAAGTTTCACAGTCATTTTAAGTTTAAATCTTAAACCACCTATTGTTTTCAGGTGCAGTTTAGAGCCCAGAGTTTAATCCTTCGTTTTGTATAGTTACAACAACAACAGTATGATTTCAACAGCGGTGTCAGGTAGAAATTATAAGATCAAGGGTTCTTTTGCGTGTGTGAGTACGCACATGTCATGGTGTCCTGTGAGCCTGTGATGATCAAGACAACTTGAAGGGTTCTCTTCCTCTACTGTGTGGGTCATAAGGTTTCAGCTGAAGTCATCAGGCTCAGTAGCAAGCACCTTTTACCCACTAAGCTATTTTGCCTGCTGTCAACTGTTTTACTTTATGATAGTATTTTATAGCAACTTCATCACTGAGACAGTGAAGACTGTAAAATGAGTTATATAAAATGTGATTAGTTAGGCAGTGGTTCTGAAATGATAATGGAAAAACCTGGTTTCTTGGATCTTGATATAATCTTGGTGGGTGGGTAGGTATTCTCCTCACAGAATAGAATTGACCTGCAAAATAATAGATTTTCGGCAAAAATGGAGATTTTGTATGGTTTGAAATCTTAAGTTATAACAAATAGATGGTTTAAAAATCACAGGTCCTTGGGATTGCTTAGAAGGGTTTTGTTTTTTAATTTGTTTTGGCAAAGCTTGGAGGCATGTAATTGCTAAAGTAGTATACATCAATTTGTTCTAGTCAGTGCCAAGCATGTTTGTTCTGTGCTTGGGGATTTTTGTTTGTTTAGTATTTGAAAGTTGTTTTTGTTTGGTTGTTTGGTTTGTTTTTAGTATTTGAAAGTTTTATACATTTATCATAAATACCCACTTATTCTTCCCCCTAGTGCCCCACACCCTTGTGTGCTCCCTGTCCCTCAGTCCCCTGTTTTTGTTAATAACTCAGAGTCCATATGCACATGGATATATGTCCCTGATGGAGAGTGACTCCCTCCACTGCCATCAACTACAATCAATTTCTAGGAGGGTGGGACCTCAGAGGTCCCTCCATTTTGGAGTTTTGACTAGATGTGCAGGTAGTCACATGCTGTGAGTGGATGTGTGTAGCAGCCATGTTCAGAAGTCAACAGTTCACAGTACTGTTCCTACAATTCTTTGCACATTCCATCAAGTTCCTTCAGCTTTGGATGCTGGGAGTTGCTATAAATGACTCGTCCACAGCTGAGCACTCAGTCACTTAGACAGTACTTTAGCCAGTTATGAGTCTGCAGCAGCCACTACCCCACTGCAGAAAGAAGCCTCTCAGCTGGGCAGTGGTGGCGCACGCCTTTAATCCCAGCACTCGGAAGGCAGAGGCGCAGATCTTTGTGAGTTCGAGGCCAGCCTGGTCTACAGAGTGAGATCCAGGAAAGGCACAAAGCTACACAGAGAAACCCTGTCTTGAAAAAAAAAAAGAAAAAAGCCTCTCTGACCAAAGGTGAAAGCAACATTAGGTTATGGGTATTGACATACATATTTGGAAGTTAACATGACATTTTAGCAAAACAACATTTTATTCTACTAGGGTTTATGATCTTCTAAGTTAAAAGCCTTATAATGCCAAATCCGAAATCCTTCCTGAGGCACAGACCATATCCAATCAGAAAGCACTTGGTGACCTTCATAACCTTCATGTAACACCTGCCTACAAGTCAGTATTGTAGCATTCAGGGTGTAGCATCAAATAAGATCAACAGCCTACTCAACACCTTCTGGCACTATGTAAGTTAACGAGGAGGGAAAGTATCCTGGCCAGTTCAAAGTTGATTTCTGTATGTCCTGAGCAAGTGTTTTGCAGTGGGCAGTGAAGAGCAATGGCAACAGTTTATTTGGGGTGCCTCTGGGCCTACCAGACCAATAACTCTAGATCCCGTACTTGGCACTGAGATTTTCGTTTAAACATGCCTTCTGGAAGCAACAGCATCTACTCAGTTTTGTTCAAGTTCCTTTCATATGTTAGCTTACAACCTAACTGATATCCATAATCTTCATGTATTCTTAGTTTTGGTTAGCAACCCTCCTACCCTCCTTACACCGATCACCCTGTGTTTATGTAGTCCCAAGATTCCCCTCTTCCCCTTTTTCCTGTAACCTGTATTCTACTGCCCCCTCTAATGGAGCTTTTTTCTTTGACTAGAAGATCCTGGGTTTCCATACAGCTTTGCCATGTCCTCTTCCCCTTGGTTGAGTCTTCTGCCCGCCATATTCCCCACCCCCTCCATGTTTGAACCTTTCCACCACCTCTCTACTTTGATTTTACCTGGGTTTTACTAGCCCCTCCCTTAAGCATCCAGTCCCAATGGCTCATTTCCAGTTTCCTGACTTCCACATGTACTCCAGGTTAAACATTAAAAAAAAAAAAAAAAAGTCGGGCGGTGGTGGCGCACGCCTTTAATCCCAGCACTTGGGAGGCAGAGCCAGGCGGATCTCTGTGAGTTCGAGGCCAGCCTGGGCTACCAAGTGAGTTCCAGGAAAGGTGCAAAGCTACACAGAGAAACCCTGTCTCGAAAAACCAAAAAAAAAAAAAAAACCAAAGCTAGGATCCACATATAAGAGGAAACATGGCTTTTGTCTTACTTTCCCCGAGTAACTTCTTTCATTTTGCTAGTTCCACTTACCTGCAAATTTCATAATTTTTCTATACTACTGAGTACTACTTAATCATTCATCGGTTGATATCTTAGTGGTGCCATTTCCTGGCGACTATGAATTGGGCATCATTCAGAACTGCCAAAATCAAGATATAAATGACAACAAATGCTTTCAAGGACACTTGAGTGTAAACTAGTAGAGTCACTCTGGAAATCAGTCTAGGGGTTTCGAAAAAACTGGACAGAACTACCATGACCCAACTAGATCATTCCTGAGCATATTCCAACAGCACTTTACATCCTGCTGCAGAGAAATGCATCTATAATTGCCTTTACCTTTTTTTTTTTTTTTTGGATTTATGTATACGGTGTTATGCCTGCATGTGTGCCTGCATGCCAGAAGAGGGCACCAGGTTTCGATCTTATTGTAGATGGTTGTGAGCCACTATGTAGTTGCTGGGAACTGAACTAAGAACCTCTGGAAGAGCAGCCAGCCCTCTTAACTGCTGAGCTGTCTCTCCAACCAGCCTTTACCTATTTTTAATGAAGGCTAGAGAGATTGCTCAGCAGGTAGCATGCCACAGAGCCTGATGACTTTAATTGGATCTCTGGGACCCATATGGTGGAGGGAGAGAACAAACTCCTGCAGACTCTAGCTTCTACATGTGTGCCCATGTGTCTTTTTAAGGAGGTGGAACTTCAGAGAGCATTACAAGAAAGCATGGACAAGTCAGCCCAGTTATGTTCTGAACTTGGCAATGTAGAATGACTGAGACTGAATGGTGAATGGAAATTGAGAGAGATCTTTACTGGTTGATATGATCTGTGTTCAAGATTATGAAATTTGGTAGTCCTTGAATTCTTGGCACCAACTGGAAACAAAGAATGAGTGGCCTGAGGCATGTCAGTCTGAAAGCTTGCAACTGATCACCAGTAACCAAGAGAGGTCTAATACTGTTAAAGCAGTTGGCCTTGCTGACCTTGGAGCACACAGTGCTTACGGCAGAGGTGGAGCATTTTAAAGTCTCAACAACACTATCTTCAGAGTTTGAGTCACTCCAGATGTCAGCACACCTGAGTGACCCATGAATCACTCTTAGGGGATTGGTGTATCTATTAGACACTCTTAAGTAATAGTTGGAGCACAAGAAGTAATACTTAAGTGACTCACGATTATCCAGAAAATAAAAAACGGATTATCCATAGTAATTTTAATGAGTGCTGAGAAGTCTTGGTACTTCTGGGAAGAAGAAAGTCTGACCTCATATCCACAGGCAGCAGGTGTGGGGAGTGTTGACCTACTTAGCAGAGAATTCAGCTCCACCACAGGACCCAATCAAATCCTGCATGGTATTGGAAGCTGTAAAGTCTGGAGGACTCTACTTGTGCTCAAAGTCAAGGACTGCCACTCTAGGTGTCTCAAAATAGAAGTATAATCAGCGGACTCATTTAAGTAGAATAATGCATCCTAAAGCTGATATGGGGTTGGGGGCACCAAGATGACTTGCTGGGTAAAGGCACCTGGTGCCAAGTCTTATGACTTGAGTTTGATTCCTAGGACCCATATGGGTTTGTTTTTCCATTGGTAAATTGAGGAAAATGGGGAGTTTGATGTTTTTTAGTATAGTTCAATTGCCCATGGTTAGTATGTATGAGTGTTGTGCCTGCATGTGTATGTGACCCATGTGTGTGCCTGATGCCCTCTGAAGCCAGAAGAGGATGTCAGAATTCTTGGGACTGGGATTACAGACAGTTGTAAGCTGCTTTGTGAGTCTGAGAGTCAAATCTGAGTCCTCTGGAAGAGTAGCAAGTGCCCTTAACTGCTGAACCATCTCTCCAGTCCCTGGGTAAAATTTAAAAATGAAAATCCATATGGAGAGACATTGAAACACTTGATAGGGAGCTCCTGGAAAAAAGGTCAGACCCACTGCAGTGCTGGCCTTAAGCCTTCAATCCTCCATGGCCCAGCATTCTTTGCCACCTTTATTCCTCCAGCTGAGTTGACTTTACCCCAGGACTGCCCATCTCCAGCAGCTCCACACAAATCTCCATTCTGTTCTGGGTCTTCTAGTGGTAGGGAAGCAAGGTGACACCTTCTGGGAAGGCTGCTGTTGAGTAGCAAGGAACAGAACACACCAACAGGATCCATCTTGAGCCTTCTTGCAGCCCTAAGCAGAAACCCTTGTCCCTTCAGCTCTATCCATACCCTCCCTGCCAGTTCTCACATGGGCTCTACTTGTCCTCACCTTTCTCTATAAAAATCCACATGTGCACTGGGCAGTGGTGGCGCATCCCTTTAATCCCAGCACTCTGGAGGCAGAGACAAGTGGATCTCTGAATTTGAGGTCAGCCTGGTCTACAAAGCTCCAGGACAGCCAGGGCTACATGGAAACGCCGTCTCAAAAAACAAAACAAAAATCCACATGTGCAAGTGTTGTCTGTCTCCTATTGTAACTAAGGAAGACCTAAAATTCAGTGTGTGTATGTGTGTGTGTGCCTAGTACAGCAAGAGAGAAAGTGCCTATTAAAGCATCAGGTATCTTTTAACACAGGTGGTAGTTGAATACTATTTGGAGACTGATTGTTGGAAAAGAGCTAGCCACCCCATTTCTGGATATATATCCCAAGAATGTGAAGTCAGTATGTTGAAAAGATATTTGTGCACCTGTATTCATCACAGCCCTGTTCACAATAGCCAATAGAGAATCAACCTGAGTGTCCATCAGTGACTGAGTAGATAAAAGGTATCTGGTATATATGTCCAACATAATTCAACTAGACCTTGAAAAGGCAAATTTGCCATAACATAAGCAACAACCTGGGTATTGTGTTAAATGAAATAAACAAGGCACAGGGCTGGGCGGTGGTGGTGCAGGTGGATCTCTGTGAGTCTGTCCTAGTCTACAGAATAAGTTCCAGGACAGCCAAGGCTACACAGAAACCTTGTCTCAAGGGGGGTGGAGTGGGGTGGGGTGGGGATAAGGCACAGAAACAAAAGGAATGTGTGCTCTTATACGAACTCAAGCCATTAAACTCAAGCAAAGCAGCAAATGGGATGGGCTGTTTCCATCAAGAGCACAGAGACTGGCATCCTAATTTCAACACCAACTTGCAGTGGCCATGGAAGAACAGAGAAAACAGAAAAAAAAGTCTTCCTGCAAGCCTCTGTGAGCTGGTAGAGAACATGACATTCAGGAAACTTATCAGTGGAGGAAACCCGAGAGTAGCTGCTTCCATGGAAAGTCAGGGTGGCCCCAGAATCAAGGCTGTGGGAGAAGTATCTGGGGGCCCAGAGATGTGAGTTAATAGGATGACTCAGACTCACCACAGCAGTGAGAACAGAGGTCAGGCCCTTGTCAAGGGCAAGGACTGAGGGAGCACCTCCACAGCCGCACCCCAAACCCACCACATACACCAGCCTTGCTGTCAGCTTCGTCATGTCCATAGGCAGGCAAGACCAAGTGGATAGAATGAAGGCATAAGAGGAAGTTCAGTTCAGGTTAGCTGTAAGTAATTAAAACCATCTTGCTGGGCTTCCTCCCGACTGTGCACGCACCCTGGAACTCTGAGGGAGAACAACAGCTTTGGAGTCTGACAAACCTAGTTCCAGGTGAGAGCCCCTCATGCCTGCAAAGCCAATTGAAACTTTACATTCCCCGGGATCAAGTAGAGAAGGAATTCAGTGCAGCGATGAAAGCCTGGGACCTGGGGCCTCTTGTCACCCTCCATTAGTTGCTGCTCCACAGTTGGCGAAGCACACAGGAGGGAAAGTCATTTCTGGTCAACCACAAGGTCTATAAAGAAAAGGTAGGTGCTGCCTGAGGTGTGGAACTCAAGCCAAAGTGAACAAACTGGGTGGGGAGGCGGCAGGCAGCTTCCTCCTTACGGCTCTCAGAAATGACCAAGTTGATTTGAAATGCTTTTTTCTTCCTTATAAACCCCCCTTGTTTTAGGTGTGTCTCTGAGAGATTCTCTTCTCAGGATGGCCGCCAAGTTTTCAAAATCATCCTTGGAAACCATTCAAATTTGGGTATTTCTTTTTTCCATACTAAAGTTGCATATGCTTGAGACTAACAGGCATCCCCATTATACTTCTCATTTTCACCTCTCAGCTCAACATGAGATTTTGAATATTCTAAAAAGCCAGAGGTGTTTCTTCCTTTTTTAAAGTAAGAAGTTGACAGTTATCTTTGAAATGTTAAAAGTAAGTGAAAATCTGAGAAGAGTCATTGTCCCTGGGGCTGAGCTTGGAGTTTATGTTAATACCCTGTACTGTTTTAATCTGCTTCAGTCAGTTTTTGTGAGCATTTAAAAAGGAGGCAGAATCCCAACATAGGACTCAGTTATTCCCCTGAAACTTAGGACCCCAGGAAAACCTGCAAATGTGAGAATTTTTTTTTTTTTTTTTTTTTTGTGTGTGTGTGTGTGTGTGTGTGTGTGTGTGTGTGTAAAAGCCCCCAAGATAGCCAATTCCCCCAACCCTTAGCTGATACTGCCCTTGTAGCTTTCTCCTGTGATAAGGAACAAGCTGTGCTAAGAACCGAAAGCCCATTTCTGGTTCCATGATGGAATGAAGAGAACTCCCAGGAGAACGATGGCAGCCTGTCCTAGTGGGTCAGAAGGCGAAGGCAGCCCTCCCCTAAGCAGTCTACGTTCAGGAACAACACTAGAGCTGGTGCCCAGGAAAGAGGTGGGGCAGCCACTGTTGGAGCAAGGTGTGTATTCTCCAGAGGTGATATTAGAAGGAAAAAGAACAACTTAGCTGGCAGAAAGGTAAGTACTGCCTTAACGTGACCTACAGTCTGACAGACTAGGAACCTGAACTAGTTTCTGTGGGTGAACTAACTGAAGTTTTTCACCCTATAAAAAGCATAGGCTGCTGGTCAAGATGTCCCTTGCCCATTGGTTTTTTGCACTGAACAATTTGGGGCACAAGTCTAAACTAGAGCCCCAAGGTTAAGTGTACCATGGGACAGACTCCGTCAACAGGGGATGTCTGACTGGTCTGTTTCCAGAAGGGCGTTCCTGCAGGCTGGCCCACCTGCCAACACTTCACATTTCTTCTTAGGTCAGAGTCAGCTGCTGCCCTGTGCCCACCCATATGGAGAGCCCCTCCCACACATGTTCCTTGCACTCTTTTGGCTGGAAGGACACTGCATGCTTCTCAGTCTTTTACTCCTTAGGTTCTGATCTGACCATATGCAATGCAGTCAGTTTTCCTCTCTTAGTTTACCTCTTCTGGGCAGAGCCTTAATCTTCCAACCATCTCTGGAATGACAGCCTAACCTAGGGCCAGGTGGCCCGGTGCCTTCAACTTTCAGCACAACCAAGGCATTGGAGAGGCCTGTACCACCCTCAGCTGCCCAGAGATGCCCACGAATCACAAGGATGCCACGGGCCCACAGTGTCTGCCCTGCTCTTCTTTTGCTGTGTGGGTTCAGGCCATTTGTCTCTCAGACCTCTACAGCTGGGAGGAAAGAGAAGTCGGAGAGCTAACAGTCAACACCAGCCACCATCACCACCGCAGCGGCCAGGAAAGCTGAGAGAGAAGATTCCTGAGCTGGGTCTGGAAGGAGGAGCAGGAGCTGGTTCAGGAATCTAGGGTTTGGCCAGAGCTGGGTAAAGGCTCAGCGGAGTGGGTGGGAGTTGTCCACCCACTATCCCTCACAGACTGGAGATCACCTGGCCCTTTTATCCTCAAGCCTGGCACTTGCTGAGATGCCCATACAGTATTGTTAAAGGCCCCTGATGCTTGCCTTGCCCCACAGAAAGTTGTCTTCCATTCACTCCCTAGGCTTCATAGACTGTTCCTAACAGAAAAAGGGACCATAAGTGTCCATCCATCTGTCTACCCAACCAAAAGACACCAGGCCTCCCTTTTTCATCTTGGCCCATATAACTCCTCTGTTGTTCAGGAAGCCCACCATGACCTAACCTACCATACCAAACCACTGCTCTACCCAACCCTATCTACTCCATCTCTGCACAGCCTTCTCTCCTTCCTCCAACCAACTAGACAACACCTTTCGTGGGCCTTTGGTATGGTACGGCATAGTGTGGCAGTCACCTCCTTGCACAGCAGTCTCTGGGGCCAGGCACAGTATTTTTCATGTCCTTGTGGTTTGGCTGACATCCCAGTGAAGGGCCTATGTCTAAGGGATGGGTGCCCTAGCCTCCTGCAACTGTGACACATTCCCTTACTCTTCCAGTCAGCTTCTCCCCGACGTCATGCCTTGCTCAGGCTGACGTGCAGCACTCTTACCTACACACCTTGCCAATTGCCCACCAGGGGCTAGCAGTGGCCCCCCACATAACCTCACAGTGGCGTAAGTACCCAGCTTGGTACAGATGACTTCTGGAGCATGTCGTCAGGCAGCTCTGTGTCCACTTCACATATGGACAGCAGACTCAGAAACATTTAATGACAGCAAGTTCAAGATAACACGCTGATAAACATGAGAGAAAGGATTTAAACCTAGGCCGTTTGGCTCTCCCTAAGGCTTTGCCTTTGGTTTTATGGCCCCCTTCCCCAGCCATATTTACAAGAAAGCAGGAAGATCTGCATTTGATGGAGTTATTGCTGACTCTAAAAGTTAACGTTCAACCCTGGACAATGGCTTTTCCTTGCATGAGAGCTTCCTTCTCTAACCAGCTCTCAGGGCTGCACATTTCCAAATCCCTGCAATGTCATCTAGTCCTGACTTCTTGAAGAGCTGGTTTATTATCCTGTTGGGAGGAGACTTCTAGGGCTGGGATGCCTTGCCTGTGGGGGAACGCCTCTCTCTGTCACTATAAATGTCTTCAGAGGCCAAAGAGAGGCCTTCTGTGTCATCGCTCCCTCCCTAGCTGTGAGACTCCAGCTACTTCACTATGAGACTTCTAGCCCTTTCCAGTCTGCTCTGCGTGCTGCTCCTCTGCTTCTCCATTCTCTCCTCAGAAGGTAAGGCTGCCCTCTGGGCTCTAGTCCCTGAGTAGTGATTCCATAGTCTGGGAAGGTTCCAAACAGGAACTAATGGGGAGCAGGTCCCGGCAGAGAGTCCTGAATGCTGGAAAGAACTATGCAGATACTCTGTCCACCACAGTGCCCAACAGGTAGCTTGGGGACTTCAGGCTTTATATCTTCTTCGTGCAGTCCTATATTCCCAAACACGCTGAGGGCATACTGTATAAACTAAGGGTTTGGCATGAGATGTATAAATTAAGGGTTTTGACACCAGATGTATAAACTGAGGGATTTGGTGTCAGATATATAAAGAGAGGGCATGACCACTCCAAGGTATGGTTGAAAGGAAGGTTTTTATAGTAGATATAAGGTAAGTACAGCCAGATGCAAAGAAAGGAAGTAGTAAACTGAACATGGCCAGCAGAATGGACTCGGTCGTGAGAGGAGAGATGGGAGAGTGAGACAGGAAGACAAAGAGTTCCCAACAAAGGAAACCAAGAGAGAGGAGGCCAAGAGCGGAAGACAGAGGAGAGTGCCTGGCTGAAATGACAAGGTTACATGGAAATAAGAAGCTGGGGAGGTGAGCTGGAGGAGTTTAGCATTGGGGGCAGGGTGAGAAAAGCTGAGAGGAGCTACTAGTAGTTGTTCTACTGAGAGAGCCTGGAGAGGCTGCATGTGCTTTGGTGTGCTAATGGACACCACAGACAGCCAGTTGTCTGAAAAGTAATAAGGAAATGGCTCCTTTGGTTGAGGAAAACATGCAATGGAATTCAGGGGAGTGGAGTTTCCTTTGTTACCTGATACCTGTATGAAGCTGCGTGCTCACCCTGCAAACACAAATCCTCTCAGAGAGCTACTCACCTGAGTCTTGACTGGGAAGTCAGGGAGTCTCTATTGCCACTTGTGTTATGTTGGGGACAAAGTAAATGAACAATTGACCTTCTGAACTTGAGTATCTCAAATCCTTATGAGAGGAAAGCTCCATGGGCAGGTGAAATGGGGTTATGCATGATAAGGGGATATGTGTGTGGGATGCTGCTGTGTGTTCAGATGTGGGGAACATACATGATCTTTTTGTCCCTATAGAGATGAATATTTATATCTCCTGCCTTTAAGGTTCATTTTATGTATGTGTGTCTATGTGTGGATATGCCACATGTGTGCAGATGCCTTCAAGGGCCAGAAGAGGGTGCTGGATTCCCTGCTGTTGGAGTTAGAGGTGGTTGTGAGTCACTTGAGTTCTTGGAACCAAGTTTGGGTCCTCTAGAAGAGTGGTAAGAGCTCATAAAGCCTGAGTCACCTCCCCATCTCCTTACTATCTTTCTTCATTTTAAAAGCTGAGTGCCTCCAACACTCAGGAGGCAGAGGCAGGCAGATCTCAGTGAGTTCAGGCCAGCCTGGTCTTCTATAAAACGAGTTCTAGGACAGCCAGGAGAAACCCTGTCTCAAAAAACAAAACAAACAAACAAAAAACAAGAAAAAGGTGAATATTGGAGCCTTTTTCTCTTACTTAACCTCCAATTAATTTTTTGTATCAATAGTTATGATGATTTTAACACTTAGTAGACATAAAAGGTTTTTTAAAAAGGACACCCCTCACCATATTACTTTATCACTCAAAATACTGATGGTTGACCTTAGTCCTGTACAGCATCATCTCTGAATAGTAGGACTACAGGAAGCACTTTGTTCTGGTGGAAGCCCTACCTCAGTCTCCTTCCAGCATCTCTCCCCAAACCCTGCCTGACCTTAGAAGCCCACCAAACGTGACTCCTCCCCCAGAGATGTTCAAGACCACTCCCACAGGGTATTTAAACTGCCTCCCAGAAAACAGACATGTGGTTTTTCTGTCTCTCTTCCCAGTCTCCTCTCTAGGGGCCGGAAGATAATCCAGGAGTGCTTTACCCATTAAGCCTAGGCTTTTTCTTAATTTGGTTTGTTTTGGCCTGATTTGGATTGCTGCCTCATAGAAGAGGCTTATGGGGTGCAGAAACTTTTCACACTTGTTTTTGGTTAGTTAGTTGGTTGGTTGGTTGGTTTCATTGCTCAAGTTTCTGTGGTGAAAAGGTCAGCAGAGCCCACAGCATGACATTTATCATACCGCTATTTTTGAATTATTTCAAGGTCACCAATACGATTCTAATGGAAAATCAATGAGAATGAATGTCTTTGACTGTAAACCTTCCCCCTATTCAGGACTGTGTCTGGGAGCTTCAGGCTATGTCATTACTCAAAATACATGTGTTGCCAACCTATGAGTGTTCATCCATGAATTCATGTGCTTGGACACACTATATTAAGCATACCATCACAAAAGCTTTGTGTATATAAAATGTTTCCTGTATTGTTTTCTTAGACTACAGATCTGGAGTATCAAGTCAGAATTCATGCCTCAGTGCAAAGACATTTCTCCTCAGTGCTATGCTTTTCTAAACAGCATTATGAAGAGGAAACATCCACAGGGCACAGTGACCTCCAACATTGTTTTTATCTCTGGAAAGTCACACAATATAGGCTACTTCTTCCCCAGCCCCCAGCCCACTTCATCCTGTTTGTTTGTTTGGTTTTGGCACTGGTTGTTTGTTTTTAATAAATGTTTGTTTGTTTTGCTTTGTTTTATTTTTCAACACAGGGTTTCTCTGGGAAGCCTAGGCTATTTTTGCTCTGTAAACCAGTGTGGCCTCGAACTCAGAGATCTGCCAACCTCTGCCTCCCCAGGGCTGAGACTAAAGGAGTGTGCTACCACTGTCCAGCTTTTAACAAATATTCTTGAACTCTGGGTTTTCTCGGTAGAAGCCCTCCCAGTCATATCCTGGTACAGATTGGCCTGACGGTGGCCCTGGCCCACTAATTGGAGAATCTGTCCCCTTTTACTTCTCAGGGAAAAGGCATCCTGCCAAGACCACAAAACTCAGGTTTTGCTGTAACCTGGTCCCTAGATCCAGACTGACAACCCAGAAAGGTAAGTAACCTCATCCTGTCAGGGCTGGGAGTGGGAAGATTTCTAGGGTGGCCATGGGACAGACCAGATTTGTGATCTGCCCCAGCCAGTGTCTTGTGACAAGCTCTGGGACAGATGACCCACAGTCAATCTCAGTCACAGAGGTTAGAGTCCTCTGAAGAGTCAATGACTTAGCCATTTAAAACTGAACACGTTCTGTTAAGAAAAAACTCTTAAGAATGGCATAGGGACCAGGCATGGTAGCACATAGCAATCCCAGAATTAGAGAAGCTAACAAAACATGATGATGAATCTTGAGACCAGCAAGGGCTTACACAATGAATTCAAGGCTCAAAGGCCTGGGATCTGGCTCAGTCAGTGGAAAAATGCTTGCTTAGAAAGCTCGGGATCCTGTGTTCAGTCCCTATTGCAAGAAAAAGAGAAGAGAGGAGAGATGTGGGGGAGCGCCCATTCCTGGATGGGAGGCCTCATGGGGAAGATTAGGAACCCGACTGCAGATGATAGAGAATAGGAAACTGGTACAGAGGAAACAACAGGCATGAAGGTGTGGTGTGGGCAAGCAGGAGACACAGAGACAGGAGAGCTAGAGGATGGGAGGTGCCCATTGGATCTGCAAACCATAGCCCACCTGGATACCTGAAGCAGGACCTGCGTGAAGGTCTCCAGCCAGTGTGTCGAGTATGTGGGTGCAGAGAACTCTAGGAGACAAGACAGCACCAGAGATGTAGACAGGTACACTGAGGCTCAGTTTGAAACCAGCCTGACCATGAGGCCTGAAAGAGCCAAGCTGCCCTCTCCCAGACCTGGGGGACCTGACAATGGCTAGTCACAAAGATAGGCCCAGGTCCCGATCTCAAAGCACACAGATCCCAGCAATGGCACTCCAGGCCAGCAGCAGGCCAAAGCTCTGAGCTGCTGGCCCAGGGTGGGTGGTTAGGATGGCTGGAACTTTGCAACTTTTGTACAGAGAGTCCTGGAGCTTAGAGCAGGCAGAGACCTGTGGGAAGGCAGGCAGCAGAACTCAGAGCAGACATGGCCTGACTTGAGCTTAGGGCCTGTGTCTCAGCTCTCTGTAGCCCCAGTGCTAATTCTTGGGAGCCCAAGGCTTCAGCTCCCCGTGTTGCTACAAGGTGTGGCACCTGAAGCCCATGACCAGCTACCAGGGGTGCTGTCTTCCAAGGACTTCCTGTCTTCCTGTGAATGAAGAGGGTGACAGAATTAGAAAGACAAGATAGTTCCAACCTTGGTACCCCTGAGAGGTTGACAGCCCCTCCTCCACACTGCCATCACACCCAGTCAGGGCTGGGTAAAAATAACCACTTCTCTCACACATGCCATGTGAATAACCAAGTGTGAGGCACCCGCCTAGGCAAGGTGGAGGGTGAGCACTGGCTGCCAGCAGCTCTGCTTCCCATAGGAGCTTGTGAAATAAGGTGCAAATGTAGGGGAGAGAGATGCCAGCTCCCCACTGAGGGTGGCTTGCTGGAACTTGTCCTCACCTCTAGCCCCTCCCTGCACAGATGCACAGAGGCAGGAAAGAGAAACTGGGGGGAAGGAGGGCTGCACACACACACTACACATACCCTTATACCCACACAATCATACAGATGCATATGCAAGTACATGCATGCAAACACTTGCACACCACATAATTACGCACTACACACACAAACCTACACACACCACACCACATCACACACATACATACATACACATACTATATATCACACATCTAGAGTCACAGACACACAAATACATGTGACTATACCACCTACTATATATATATATATATATATATATATATATATAGCCACAAATACTATATACATATAGACATACAAATAAATGCATACACACACACACACACACACACACACACACACACACACACATATATACCAACTATATACAGATATGTACACCACATGCACACAAACATACCTACATGTCACATGCAGACTTAGGCACATAAATGCACATACAGACTATGTACAAAGAGGCATGTATAAACACATTCACCACACTCTACACACAGCTCCTAGAAATGTGGAACATGGCCAGGTACACTCCTTGTGTCTAATACAAGAACAGCCTTTTGTTGAGTGCACAATTCTATGGGAGAATGAGCTAAGTTGGGGATCCTATATTGAGACTGGATTTCCATTTGAGCATATATTTCAAAAATTCCATGGCAGAATTCATGAGCAACTTAGAACAAGAAGACTTAATCAGGCATCTTTACTGGACTTTAAAGGCACATAGTTGCCTTTAAAGCCTCAGACCTATGCCAGGGAGTTCTTGTCACAATTATACAGATTGGGGAACTGAGACTCAGAAGGACCCAAAAGCAGAGCTAAACACCAGCGTCTGTGGGTCTCTTGCACTAGAACAGACAATCTGGTCTCTGGAGGGAAGTTTTCTGCAGAATGTGAGCATGAAACCTCCTGGAAGGGAAGTGCCCTCGGGGTGGGGTCCCAGCTCCACCACCTGCTGGCTCTGTGCTCCTGAGCAGGCTCCTCCTCCTCTGTAGAAAGTGTGGCTGCAGGATCCAGCTTGCTGGTATTGAGAAGTCAGTAAGGTATGTTCACAGAGCACATGGCATCGGGTCAAGCCCATAACGCCCTATAAACCTGTCTTGCTGTCACAATGGAGGAGGCTGGGCTTCCAGGGCAGCTGCACCCACCTCAGAGCCCATGTGTAATGTGTATATTTGTGGATGGAGTTACATGGCACATAGGTGTTGTGTATGTTGTATTTGTATATGTATCTATGTATGTTTGTGTGTGTGTGTGTGTGTGTGTGTGTGTGTGTGTGTGTGTGTGTGTACCTCTCCTTCCAGCTTCTCCTTTCAGTCCTGACTCTTTACTGCTGCTGATTACCCAACACCTAACCCAGAAAACATGTTTGCCCAAGCTTGGTGCTTCCACCCAGAGTCTCCCGGGACAGACCCTAAGATTCGGAGAGAAGAAAAGAGAAGATGAATCAGGGTGTTGGGCAATCAGCACAGGATTTCAGGGTGTTTTGTGTTCCCGTAATCTAGTCTCCTGTACCTGCCTCACAGGCACGAGAGCACAGCCTCCACTTTCCATGAGAAAGGAAACTGATGGCAGCTGAGACAATAGAGGCACTCAGAGTGGCTGCAGCTCATGCCAAACCTTTCCTGAGCTCTGCTTTGGGTCTACGCGCTGGGGGCTAGGCCCACAGAATGACCCAATGTGCAAGGCATGGGATTCTGGGCGGAAGTGACAAAAACATCTTTGAAAGTTAACGGGATAAATGACTAGCAGTCTGGCTGAAGTGAACGTACTTACCAGTTTACTAGAAGGAGATGGGACAGAGTTTTCTTAAAGCAGGCTTACAAACTGTAGAGTGACTTATGTAGCAACACTGTCTAGGCAGCACCTTTGAAAGGAACATTCAATACACTGACACAGACAATGGTCTGACCCAGACTCTTAGCTTCTTAGATCCCACCAGATCAAAGTCAGGAGCTAGGAGCCTTTGTGAAGCCATCTTCTTTCCATGTGTCACGAGGTCACCAGGGGAAGCTCCTTCGAGGCCATGTGGACCCGAGACAAGCCCAAGTCCTGAGGATTTGTGCCATACTCCCTGTTTCAAAGCTCAACAAAATGAGTTAATCCACAGGGGCAGGCTCAGGGTAGAAGTCTGCAGGACCACCCCGGTCCCCTGACACGCACACCATCACTGCCCACCATGTAGTGTCTGTCTTTAAAAAGGGACTTAACTACAGTGGTAAAGGTCACCCAGTGGGGAAGAAGGGCCACTTGAGGGTTCCGGGATAGCAATACCGGGGTGGACACAACATATAGACCTAGAACAATAAACCCTAGGGAGGAGGTGGTGGCCAGCACTGGCCACTCTACTGCTGGGCAATCCAATCAGAGGAAACAGTTGCCTGATCCTTGTAATTCTGTTCACTAGCCTTGGCTACACAAGAAGCTACCCTCACCTTGGGAAACCAAAGCAGTAGGCATAGTTCTCAGTGAGTTTGCATGTCAGATAGGCATGTCTTTCATCATAGCCAATCACACTCATTTGTTTGTTTATTTGCTTGGTCGCGTATTTGTGATAGCATAACAGGGTCTTATTTGTGATGACTGCATGAGATTGAGGATGAATAAGGTACTTAAATTTTGGTTTTCATTAGTATTTATATCCACTAACACTTTTAATTCTTGCAATGATCCTGAAAATTAGCTACAGTTAAGGGTTGTTATTTTATGGATGAGGGGGCCAAACAACAGAGAAGTTTCAAGTAACTTGTTGAAGGTCTAGTCAGCTGAAAGCTGGTGAGTATTACTTACAGGCTTTGAATCCAAGCAATTCAGCCTCAGATTCCATGCCATTAACTTCCATTCCACAATGCAGATAGGAATAAACCAGAAACACAAAGAAAAATAATCTCATCACCATTACTTAATAACCCTTTCCATTCTCACTCAAATAACACTTACTCAGTGTTATTTTAATTAGTACTAGGAAAGGCCCTGTAGGTTCCAGAGAGGGCATTATGATCCACTTATGTGATTTCTTTACATTCTAATGTGTAAGAGTGAGTTTTAATTGTGTCTTGCTCCTTCTCTTCACCCTATTCTGTCCTCTTCACTTTGCCTTCCCATGCCCCTCCTTCTTCTCTGCTGTCACTCATCCCCAGGAAACTACACGAGGCACTGCAGACCATGCGGAAGCAAGCCACCATCCAAGTCATGGGTGGTGCCTGGTGCTCTCCCACAGGTATAGAGCTCCTGAAACTTGGCTCCACCCAAATGAGACCTTCAAGCCCAGCTGTGGAGACACCAGAAGCTTTGACTTGCCCCCTGCCAACTTTCATGGTGGCAGTGAGCTGTAATACTGGGATGCTTCACTTCAGACATCCAGGAACATTCCAGAATTCCTTGACCTGGTTCCAACGGTGCCTCCAACCTTCAGAGTCACTATGAAGCCCACATGTCTTCATGGCTCCTCGAGAGTGGAAGTCAAAGATTCGTCCTGTGGGAGCTACAATGCCAGAGATTTCCAAGCTGGCCAGAGTGCAGAATAGCAAGACCTCAGTGTGATCAGCCAGGACTACAGCACCACGGGCAGTCACAGACAGCCTCAAATTCCTAGCATTTAACCAATGGTCTCTGAACCAACTCCTGTAACTTCCTAATTACGTCACCAGGAGAGCACCCAAAATAATAAATAATAAATTGGCTAAACATGGAACATCCTTGTCTGAGAACATAATGTGGCCTGAGGTACAATGTTATGCTAGAAGGAAAGTGTCTGGAAAAACTTGGTGGCTGCTCCATCACAGGACAATCTGACAGTAAGAAAGAGACAGTAGTTAGGTGTTTGGGTCCCACACACCAGGACACAGAGCCTAGTCTTGCCCAGGTTTCTCTGTAGGCTTGACAGTTCAATTTTCTGTAAAACAGAAATGATAGGAAGGATCTACTTAGGAGCAAGCAGACAGGGATAGGGTCCCTGCAAAGTATTAGGCTTAGAAAGGCCCAGCAAACCACCCACCCTGGAGCAGTGTTTATCTCCACAGTGAGCAAAGAGCTCAGAGGAGACAGGTGGCTCAGGTCTAAGAGGCTTGTCGCAGCAAAGCTCCCTCTAATCGGATCCTGCCAGCAAGGTGAGAAGCCCCCTTTCCTATATTACTCCCAGGCCTGAGTGAGAGCACCAGGGCCATCAGGTGTGAGGCTGATAGGCAGGGCATCCCTGAGGACAGCCATGCCCAAGCAAACCAGAGCTTGTGGCTTGTCAGGGGCCAACGGTCCACCTCCCTCTCATAACTGTTCACTCACTCACTCCTCCGCTTACCATTCCCAGGGAGAACAGTGGTCAGACTCTGCACTGGGTCCCAAGGTTCAAATAACATGGTCCTCTGACATCTGAGAGGCTGCCGTTGCTGCGTAAGCACAAGGAGAAGAGCAGAAGGTGAAGTGTAAGAATAAAGAAAAGGGGGCCTGGAGAGATGGCTCAGAGGTTAAGAGCACTGACTGATCTTCTAGAGGCCCTGCGTTCAATTCCTAGTAAACACATGGTGGCTCACAACCATCTATAATGAGATCTGGTGCCCTCTTCTGGCATGCAGGCAGAACACTGTATACATAATAAATAAACCTTTTTTTTTTTTAAGTGTAAAGCAAAGAAGGTAAGTAGCTGAGGTATGAACTCAATGAGAGTCAGATAGAGTCCCCGCTAGAGAGGGATGTGCTGTGCATGGGAGAGGTGGCATATGGGCTGTGGCGTGTGTACTTCACTATGCATGGTAAGTGTTGGTGTGGTATGTAAGTGTAGAGTGTGTATATGGCCCTGTGTGTTTTAGGATGATGTAGAGGTAGGAAGATTTGAGAATTGGAGCAGAATTCATTAACTAGATAACTGTGGTGTGGGCCAGAAGAGAAGCAGAAAATGAGAAGGACTCAGCATGTCCTTGGATTTGCCTTGAGAACAGGAAGGATAAGAATAGGGTAGAGCAGGAGAAAACACGGGTAGCAGCAGCTAGAGTGAGCTGAGGTGGCAGAAGTACAGAAGGCAGGAACAGGCTTTAGGGTGGCAGTGGTGTGGTTTCATGCTCCCCAAGCTTCCTGGGCAGTGGAGGGTGTGTCCACAGTCCATTCGTGGTACTTTCAGACCTTATCAGGAGCTCCTTGTGTCTGAAACTCCTACCTCATTGACAATGGGAGGTCTGGTAGCTTCTGTCTCCCATCCTTATATGCCCTCCATTCTCCCTTGAAAAAGGCAAAGAAACACATGTATAAGACTTTACACGTGTACTTGGGTCTACTAGGAGAAAGAAAGGTAAGAGTCCAAGGACAAAGCCCATGCCATCCTGAAAAGGGCACAAGGAAAGCACACATGGAAGCCTCAGGATCCCTGAGGGAAGGGCGACAAGTTAGTTAACATTAATAAGTAATAGAGGGACACAGCTGATCCTTGGAGAAGAGGGCAGCTCCTAGGACAGGGGGTTGTAGGGACTGCAGTATCTCAGCTCAAAGCTACTTCCTGCAAAAGGTTACTATGAAGGTCAGCCTTCTAGGGACACCAGCCCCAGAGGAGCCCAGGTCATAAGGACTTAAAAAGGAACTACAATCTGGCACCTGCTCCTCCCCACCCCAACTCACACCTACCCCACATATGTCCTTTCCCCAGGGAATAAAAGAAATCTCAAGTCTAGTTTCTAGCTGGAATTTAGCTCACTATCAGGCCTCACCATGGCCCATCAACCAAGGAGGTGGGTGCTGATCCCCACAGACCAAGCATTTATCTCCTCCTTCTTTCACTGGCTTCCAGCATCAGCACCATGGGCTTTTAAACATTCCCAGCAGTGAAGAGCTTTGTTCACAAAGGGCAGACAGGGAAATTAATGAATGTAGTTCCTCATGCTTAGGGAGAAAACCCAAGCATATAGAAGTGACTGTAAAATAATAAGACTACAAGTCACATATTGATTGCCTTTGTTAGCTCCTTGAAGAATCTAGGCATGTTTAGAGGATAGAGTAGGGTTATTAGAAGAAGTTTATAATTTCCATGGTAACTAAAAGAGTCCATGGTCCCTGAAGGGGTGGGACACTTGGAGCAGTTGATAGAGCATGAACATCTGAGACAGATTTGGGGATCAAGCAATGGCTCTGTCACACATACATTTATGCAATGTTGGATGAGGTCAGGTGACTTCTCAGATCCTCAGTATTCCCATCTGTAAAATACTATAAATTACCCATCACCTCTCCCAGATTATCTGTGTGCCAATGGTCATCAGGAACATGAGCCTTGATAGCATAGTGAGCACCTGCCACAGTAGAGGGAGACTGGGAAGCCTGGCCCACTTCCCTTTTTTGTGTTCATGATGGGCATGTATATTTACATTGAGAGATAAGGTCACATGTAGATGAGGAAATTCACATGCAGATGCGGTGTGTGTGTGTGAGTGTGTGTGTGTGTGTGTGTGTGTGTGTGTGTGTGTGTGTGTGTACAAAGGGGTCTGCAAACAGGAGTAGAACTCATATGATTGTGGATAGCTGTGGGAACATGTATGAGGGAAAAGGACTGTGGCTTAGCATGCTCTGCTACAACCTGTGGGTTGTGACCCTTTTGGCAAACCTCTGTATCCAAAAACTATATTATGATTCACAAAAGTAGCAAAATTACAGTTAGGAAGTAGTAATGAAAATAATTTTATGGTTGGGGTGACAACATGAGGAACTGTATTAGAAGGTCCCAGCATTAGGAAGGTTGAGAACCACTGTTCTAGTATGATGTGGGATGGTCTATATGTCAAATGTGTTGCTGATTGGTCAATGAATAAATCACTGATTGGCAGTGGCTAGGCAGGAAGTATAGGCGGGACTAAGAGAGGAGAAGAGAGAGGACAAGAAGCTGGGTGGGAGAGACGCTGCCAGCCGCCATCAGGACAAGGAAGATGTAAAGTACCGGTAAGCCACAAGCCACGTGGCAAGGTATAGATTAATAGAAATGGATTAATTTAAGCTGTAAGAACAGTTAACAAGAAGCCTGCCACGGCCATACAGTTTGTAACCAATATAAGTCTCTGTGTTTACTTGATCGGGTTTGAGCGGCTTGGGACTGGCGGGTGAGAGAGATTTGCCCTGACTGTGGGCCAGGCAGGAAAACTCCAGCTACAAATGGCGTCCAACGTGGTGGCAAGAGTTTCCACCTAAAACCTAAGAAAAAAGATTCTAAAACGGAGCTAAAAACAGTTCCTAATTTTCTCTCTCAAATGAGCGACAGCTGCCGGTTTGAGCTACTGGCTGGTTGCTGGCGTGCGCGCTCGACCTGCAGTATGGCGGGAATGAAGTCTCTACAAATGACACATTAAGCTGCATTGTGGATTTAGCCTTTGCTAGTACAAAACAAAAAAAGAGGTTTCTGAGCTACACGCTGCTTGGATAAAAGCATAGACCCACGATAGCTCCCAGAGCTGGCGGTAAGCATACTGCCGCCATGTTGGGAAGCTGAGGTGGGCGGAGCCAGCAGCCACAGCTGCTACAGCTTAAAACAATAGATTCACAATAAGACAGATTCAGATGTAATAGTTTAAAATGTATGTAAAATATACGTAGGCTTGAAAGAAAAAAAAAGGTGATATATACAGTATAGAAACAAATACATGGTTTTAAAAAATAAAGTCTTTAAAGAGACAGTAAAAGTAATATAAAAAATAAGCCACGTAGAGATGACTATTACACAGAGAGTCTGGATTGTGTTGTCTTTGGGATTCTTAACTACAGAGAGATATTTGATTGTAAAGGAAGCTGAGTTAAACCAGTATGTATATTTTAAAGATACTTTGACTTCAAAATTTGGATGTAAGGATATGTTGCTTTGGAAAAGAGTCTCTTTTGTTTCCACAGAAAGCAAGAGGCTATGGATTTGTTCCAGATTAAGACACATCAGGTTTGACCAGCCAAGACCACCTGAAAGGTCTCCGATGACACCATGGCCCAGATGATCCAACATCCAGAACCGTTTCAAGGCAACTGGCTCAGATGATACAGCCTCACGGACTACTCCATGATCCTAAAATTTTCTTTGTTTCCCCAGAAGATACAGCGCCCCCCTCCAGCAGGAAGTAGTAAGAGAAGCTACGCCCAAATTCCCAAATATACCAAGCTGACTTTGGAGATGTGTAAAGGTTAAAACCTTCCTTTTTAAGAAAAGAAAAGGGGAAGTGATGTGGGATGGTCTATATGTCAAATGTGTTGCTGATTGGTCAATGAATAAATCACTGATTGGCAGTGGCTAGGCAGGAAGTATAGGCGGGACTAAGAGAGGAGAAGAGAGAGGACAAGAAGCTGGGTGGGAGAGACGCTGCCAGCCGCCATCAGGACAAGGAAGATGTAAAGTACCGGTAAGCCACAAGCCACGTGGCAAGGTATAGATTAATAGAAATGGATTAATTTAAGCTGTAAGAACAGTTAACAAGAAGCCTGCCACGGCCATACAGTTTGTAACCAATATAAGTCTCTGTGTTTACTTGATCGGGTTTGAGCGGCTTGGGACTGGCGGGTGAGAGAGATTTGCCCTGACTGTGGGCCAGGCAGGAAAACTCTAGCAACACTAGTAGATCAGATGAAGGTAGAGGACTTGTGCTGACATGTTGGCAGAGTGACCTGGAGCACACATTCATGACAGGCTGGCAGGTGACATTCTAAGTCTTGTTTATCAAGAACTGGGCCAGCGGCTATAAATCCATCAGAGGAAGAGCTATCGGAACCTGAATTAAATCGACCTAATTTGGAAGGGCATACAAGGAGGATAAAAGCTCATGAGTCACCCTGCAGAGGTGATGGCCACATGGGGGTCAGGGTAAGTGATGTATGTGAAGCTGCCCAGGGTGACAGAGTCAGAATCAAGCCCTGAGTTCCACAGCAGATGATTTTCCCCCCCTAGATGCATCAAACCAAGCCCTCCAGGTAGCATCCAGACTTTCTACACTGTAAGGTCAAGATTATGGTACCCAACAGAGTCAACAGGAAAAGCTGCTGTTTTGATGACAGGGCTACATCTGGCCATCTCAGGTAACCCACTCCCCTGTAAACTGAGATGTTCCTGATTTTAGTATTAAAAGTCTTGCATTCCTGGAAATCCCTAAGTTGTAGGTAAAGTCATGCAGATGAATGGCAGCCCTTCTAGCAGATCTTGCACATTTGTGGACAGGGAAGCCTCTTTAAGGAAAAGAACATTAGAGTATAAGTATAAGAAATTACAGTTCTGGAAGGACAGGTGAATGATTGAAGGGCCTGAAGTTTAAAGCTTCAGTAGCTTTGTGACTGTGTACCTAAAACACAGAGTTTCAACTTGAAAGACAGCACAAACCAGATATGACTCCAACCTCTGCCCCTCATTGACTGGGTGAGCCTGTGTAGTGGTTTGCATGAAAATGTCCCCTATAGGCTCATAGGGAGTGGCACTATTAGGAGATGTGGCCTTGTTGGACTAGATGTGATCTTGTGTCACTGGGGTTAGGCTTTGAGGTTTCAGAAGCTCAAGTCAGACCCAGTGTGCTGTGGGATGTCTTCCTGTATGGTGTGAATATGTGTGGCTCCCATTAGCTAATAAATAAAGCAGCACTGGCCTATGGCAGGGCAGGATGGAGCCAGGCAGGAAAATCCAAGAGAGATGGTGAAAGGAGAAAGGAGAGGAAGGGAAGACGTGGAACTGAAGTCCAAGGAGCAACATGCCATGAAACATGTGGCAATACATAGATAAATAGAAAAGGGTTAATTTAGGATGAAAGAGCTAGCTAGCAAGAAGCCTGCCATAGGCCATACAGTTGGTAATTAAGATGAGCCCCTGAATGATTATTTTTTAAGCCGCTGTGGGACCTCGGGGCCGGGTGGGATCGAAGAAACTTCTGCTATACTAGTCACTCTCTCTTCCTGCTGACTGCCTATTCAGATGTAGAACTCTCGGCTCCTTCTCCAGCACCATGTCTGTCTGCATGCCACCATGCTTCCTGCCATGATGACAATGAATTAAACCTCTGAACTGTGAGCCAGCCCCAGTTAAATGTTTTCCCCTATAAGAGTTGCTGTGGTCATGGTGTCTCTTCACAGCAACAGAAGCCCTAACTAAGACAGTCTACATAAGTTTTTTCTTGGCTTTAAAACTTTCCTCTGCAAAGCATGGTTAATCACACCAGAAAGACTGTGCATGCTAATGAGACACATGGTTGAGAGTGTACACACACACACACACACACACACACACACACACACACACACACATTAGGCAGGCATGTGGCCTATACATCTTCTCTGTCCCTCTCCAATGCAAGTCCCTTGATTGAATGGACTGACAGCAGAGAAGTCAGAGGCCTGAAAAGGAGCCTCTTAGGGAGGAGGTGGCAGACAAGATTCAGAGAAAATCAGATCTCAGCACATCAGAAAGACACCTGCTTGAGGAATGCTTACATCTGAGCAAGCTCCAGCAAACCTATCTTATACGCTCTGTGTGGAATCTGGCTTTGTCCTAGGATTTTGAAAAGCAAAGATTCAGAAGTACCTGTGTAATGTGCTGTGCATATTCTCAGCCAAAGGCCCAACAGAGTCCATACAAAGGCCTTTGGTCAGACTTACCCGGAATTTGCCGCACTTCCTAGGTGTCCTGATTCAGCTCCTCCCTGCTGCTCTCTGAATCCCTGGTCCTTGCTAAGAGTTGATCAGAGAGGCCTGGCCCAAGGGATATAGGTGCTCTGAGTCCTTGAAGTACCCTGGAAAGGGAGGATGCTGAGAGCTCCATGGAGCACACAGAGGGTCTCCTTTGTCTCAGGGCACAGCACCCCATGGGCAGCTTTGAAAGCAACGTGGTTTCAAGCTTTGCCTTACTTCTCACCCCAGCTGATGAATGGCCCAACACAGAGAAGGGTACAGGGGACATCTCTACTCACACTCTAGTGTCAGAGAAGGAGGGTCCAAGCCAGGAACGCTCCTGGGCTTTCCTGTTCCTACTCCGTTCCGATACTATCCTCTCTACTCTTGCTCTTTGGTCTAACTCAAAGCTAAAGGGCCTGTTTGAATTGCCAAGGCAATGCCTCTTTTTAACGCCCTTTCTTTTCCCTCCACTCCGCCCTGGAAGAGGCTGGGCTGTTTTCCTGCTCACTATTTTATGTTCATGAATGCTTTGATTAGAGAGGTCGGACCCCCTGAAAGCCACAAAACAAAGTTAAATAAGGCAGGAAAATTCCTGCGCAGCCGGAGCCCCCACCAAACCACGGGGAACCCTGAATTTCTTGTGGCTTGCTCAAGGCAGTCTGGGACAGGCACACAGTCCCTCTGCAAAGCCCCACCTCTGCACCTGGCGCTCCTGGGTTGCTAGGGCACAGAGGGCGTGGTAGGAGGGAGGCAGTCTTGTCACGCCCTCCCGCCCGCTGCTCTAAGCTGGTCCCAGTAATTGGTCTCATTAGTTGTCTGACCGGAGCCATTCAACGGTGCAGATCCCGGAGCGCTGTCATCCGCTTAGCGCCCTCGCAACACCCGCGCTCCCTCCCTGACACCGCTGCTGCCGCCGCCGTCACCTGCATCGTCGCCTCTGCTCTCCTCCCGCGCCCAGGGCATGCTCCGAGGTCCAGCACCCGGCCTCGGCAGTGGCCAGGCTCTCGACCAGTCTGCAGAGACATGAGGTGCTGCCCGCGGGCCGCCCTGGTCCTGGGGCTGCTGCGCATTTACCTGGGTGAGTGGCGAGGGTCCGGGAGGATGGGTGTTGGCGCTTCCTAGGGAAACACGGAGACTGAGGCTGCACTGTCCAGTTGCAGACTATGGGAAGAGGGCAGCCTTCCAGCCGCGAGGCAGGGCGATGGGACACTCTCTGGGTGCTTCTCCAGAGGCTGAGAGCCAGCATCCCGGCAGACTGGGATGTTTTGGCTCCTTCAAACTCGAGCTGGGAGGATAAGGGGCTGATTTGCTGGCTGCCCTGGCAAGGCAGGAAGTGTGACCTTGGACGGCACACTACCCGTCTTTGAGCTCTTTGATGGGGTGGGATTGTCCTTCACCTTGATTCTAGGTGCCTGAGATAAAATGTGTCCCTGAAAAGCTTGAACCTCGCCCAAGCGTACCGTCATCAGGTACCCCAGGGAGGAACTCCTTGCAGAGAGACAGAACCCCTCTTTCATTAGCAGAGTCCAGACAGGTGACTTTGCTGGTGTGAAGCTCCCTCGAGGTATCTATTTGTCTTCATTCTTTTCCTAGCTCAGGCCAACTTTGCCCCTCACTTCTTTGACAATGGAGTGGGCAGCACCAATGGCAACATGGCACTGTTCAGCCTCCCAGAAGACACTCCTGTAGGTAAGAAAGTAGCCTTGGCCGCAGCATCCCTGGTCTCCGAGGGAGTTTTCCCAGGGGAAACTCATCTCCCCAGAAATCAAGGGCACGACTCATGACTCCTCGCAGCCTATGGCATGCTCATGCCGCACAGTATGGGCTCCCATGGGTACTCTGTTTGTGCTCTGAACGCCCCAGGGTAATAGCAAGGAAGGAGGTCATTGCTGCTATGGTGCCCTAAACTGGACCCCTCCTGGAGACCAGGATGAAGACCCAAAGATGGGGGTGGGCTGACTCCCTCTGAAGCATAGTTGTGAGGTGCTTGCTGCTTTTTAGGGTGTGACCTTGACCAAACATATTTACCTCCACACGCCTACTTTAAACCCACCCAAGAATAACCAAGAGATGTGCAGAGTGGTGGGTAGAAGGAGAGAGGGAAAGTTAACACCCTGTACTTCACCTTGTCAAGGTTTACCTAGCTCCTGGGAAGAGAGCAGAAAAGCATAGGTGCTGGAATTCAGAAATCCCCTAAGAGCCAGTCCCTCCTCCAAACAACTATGCTTTACTCCACTTGGCTCCTGATCCCAGGGACCCCTCCAGCTTCCACTTCCCAGAGAGAATTCATTCCAGGCAGAGGGAAAGTTACTACAATTAGATACCTCCTCTCCAGGCTGTATTACAGATTGCAATCTGTACAGTGGCTGATAATAACATCTGATAACTTTAGAGAATTAAGATAAGGTGGGAAGCAGCCAGCAGGGGTGAGGCCTGGTTGGGCTGTCGCCATGGCACTGAGTATTTACAGCGGAATCTCTAGCTCTGAGCATCCGATATTTTCAGGAAAAGTTGGGTCCCAGGTTCCAGATATTATTCCCTTTGTCTCCTTCCAGGTTCTCACGTGTACACCCTAAATGGGACTGACCCCGAGGGAGACCCTCTCTCCTACCACATCAGCTTTGACCCCAGCACTAGAAGTGTCTTTTCTGTTGATCCCAATTGTGGAAACATCACCCTGGTGGAAGAGCTGGACAGAGAGGTACGAAGAAGTACAGGAGAAAATTGGGGCTACTGCTTGCTTAGTACTCAGAACCTCTGTGCTGCTCTCTGTGGGAGAGGGGGTGAGGGAGGGGGTGATCCCTACACTTCATCTCTCCCCCTAGACCAGTCACATTAGCAAAGATTTCTTTATCCTCCCGGGGTGAATAGTGGCAATCCTTCAGCAGCAGCTCTCAGGCTTGCTTGTCTTTAAAGCACATTCAACTAACAAACAAAGCAAAACAAAATCAGTACTTGGGAGTTTCTGAAGGAGCCCCCCTCAGAGTGGGTTTTTAAGCCTGACCTTGGAAGAGCCCCACAAACCACAGGGACTTCCACAGGCGAGGCTAGAGAGGGACTGAGAGAGTGCATCTGAGTTTGGGACACCCTGGTTCTGGGTACTTCTGAACCGTGGAATGATAGAGCGTACGTAGGTTCCCTTTCTCTCCGCTTGCCTACACAACTCAGCCTTGGCCCTGGGGCTACAGCTATTTCTGGTTCCACAGCAAAACCCACTAACCACAGGTGAGTGAAGGGGACAGGAGGGGGGCTGAGGGGAACGACGGCACTCAGCGCAGTGATGAGGATTTTGTAGTGGAGGCAGACTGCTGCCAGCACACTGCCCTGCACATCTGTGGATCTGGTGACCTCCTCAAAATGCCACCAAGTCTTAGGGAACACTTGGAGCACCATGAACATGGACCATTGCCAAACCCTGGACTTTAGAGCGGTGCAGAGAAATAAGGGAGGGGAGGGGGAAAGAGAAGTGAGGAAAACTCCTCTCTTGGGTACACCAGAGTTGCCCCCTCCCCTTTCTCTAGCAGGGCAACATCTGTTGGGGACACAAGGAGCCCCTCTGGATCTATAAGAACTCTGGACACACAGAGCCCTCCCAAATAAGGTCTCAAGCCTGGCAGGAGGGAGCTTCACAGGCCTTGCACACTATTACAGTCTTGTTCAGCTCCTGGGCTCCTTAAAACAGCCTTCTCTGACGGGGCTTAGCACAGCCTCCAGTCTAAGCTGCTCCCAGCTTGTCGCTCAATCTCTTTGCTTCACAGAAGGAAGATGAGATCGAAGCCATCATCAGCATTTCTGATGGCCTGAACCTGGTGAGTCAACCTTCATCATCTATGCCTGAATGGAGCATGGTTCCTCTTCCAGCTGTGGCACTCCCTGAACGAAACAAGCCAGGGACCGTGCAGGCCTGCCCAAAGTGCCCACATCTAAGGGGCACAGTCAGGCCATAGGTGAAGGAAGAAAAGGGATAAGCGGAGATCAAGGCCTCTCAGTTTCACTTACCTACACCACGCATCTTCTCAAACCTGTCTACTCATTCCCCATCTGCCAGCTTCTGCTTCTGGCTCTTGGCCCGGGGGTGCCAGGTGTTCTCCCTCACTTCTCCTCCACTCCCACAGCCACTACTTTCTGCCTGTCACTTCGGTGCTGACATGATTACAACAGGCCCCAGGGGCTCCCTGACCACCCAATCTGCATTCAGAGGGCTGTCAAGGCTTTCACTATGAGACATAGATCTGGCTGCTCTCCAGTTGTGAAAGCACTGACAGCTGGCCCTCCCTTCCCTCAGGATGAAATTCAAGTTGCCCTGCAAGGCCTCCCTGTCAGGTACCATCTGCCTCTCCTAACTCTTCTCCCCCATCCATCCTGCCAACCAACTCTCCGTCTGTGCTCTGAATTCCTTTTGTGTCCATCTCCTTTTGGCTTTGCACATTGACCCCAGCTTCCCGGTTCATTTCTGCCTTTTCCCTCTGACAAACTTGCACAGGGTTGGTACCTCTGGTCCCAGAGGCTCCCAGGTGTCCACCATCACAATTCAGGGTACTTGCAGGACCTCTGGCTGCAGCATTCAGCACAAAGGACACGTTGGCAGAGGTCATGGGCAAAGCCTTTCTCAGGTGGTTCTATTTAGAGCATTGCTCTCAGGACTTGTGTCATCACAGTTCTAAATGGTATCTCTATGTGCTGATTTCTCCCCATGGCTAAGCCACTGTGGTCCCTGAAAATGCCCCATCAAATGTCCCTCTGTCTCTAGGGTGAAACGAAGTGCTTGTCATCAAAGGGTTGCTGAACAATATTTGTTAAATGAATAAACAAAAGCAGGATGGAAAGGAGGAGAGAGAGAGGGAGAGGGAGAGGGAGAGAGGGAGAGAGAGAGAGAGAGAGAGAGAGAGAGAGAGAGAGAGAGAGAGAGTAGAAAACATCTTTTTAATAGTAGACCATCTTTTTAACCTCCCAAGAAGGTCTTCCTGCTCTGACTCCTGACTCTTCTACTCCTCAGGTGGCAGAGAAAGTCGTGATATTGGTGACAGATGCCAATGATGAGGCGCCCAGGTTCATCCAGGAGCCTTACGTTGTCCTGGTTCCAGAGGTGAGTGAGGGGCCCCAGGCAGGGACAAAGCTCCCACTTGGGTCCCTGGCCTGATGCCAAGACTGCCCCATGACTTGTGCAGAGGACCAGAGCCCTGGGTACAGTACAGCTATCCGTTACTCACTGCACGCGCTTGCTATTTTCACTGTAATTGTAAATGCCTACTTATTGTTGAAATGTTAAATGCATTTTAAAGTCATTCTCACTCTCCAGCTTTGAGATCTCACTAAATTTTGCTGTATTTCCTTTTAATATTTTTTTGTGTGTGGTTATAGGGTTTTTATCCTTTTTGTTTGATAATTGTGATTTTTAAAATATACTCTCTGTATCCTGTTTCTTCATTTCATCACAATGTAAGAATTTTGTTATTTTGTTCCTTCATTGTCAAGCTTAGGTAATTAACATCATTTTGATAGCTTCTATCAAGTCAACAGCCATCATACACTGATGGAATCCAAGAATCCCTTATATTTGGATATTTAAGCTTTAAATTTCTACTGTTACAAGAAACATCAACCTTTAAGCACAGCTTTTAAAAATATTTACTTATTTATTGTATGTGTATGTGACTGTGTGTGTACCACGTGCACACACAGGCCAGAAGAGGGGTCAAGTCCCCTGAAACTGGGGCTACAGATGGTTGTGAGCTGCCATGTGGGTGCTGGAAACCAAACAACAAAGGTTCTAAACCACGGAACTATTTTTCCAGCCCCACACAAACATGCTTTCCCCCTTTAATTTTCTTTTTATTGTTGTTGTTCATTTTTTTGTTTTGTTTTTCAAGACAGGGTTTCTCTGTGCAGCCCTGGCTGTCCTGGAACTTGATCTGTAGACCAGGCTGGTCTCGAATGCAGAGATCTGCCTCTGCCTCTCGAGTGCTGAGATTCAAGGCATACACCACCACCGCTGGGTTTCCACTTTTAATTTTGATTGTTTTTGAGCTAACTGTGGTGACACACATCTGTAGTCTTATTACTCGGGAGGCAGGAGTGTCACCAAAACCAAAAGGTTCTGGTTTTCTGTTTTTGAGACAGCTTCACTATGTAGAGAGTATGGCTTTGAATTCTGCTCTTCCTATCTCCACCTGAGATCCTTAGTGTCCAGGCTGGGGGTACAGTTCATGGAACAAAATTTGCCAGTAATGCTTGGGGCCCTGAATTTGCCCCCTACTATAAAAAGAATCCTTAAGATAGAGTGAAAAAAAATGAAGTTACTGTACTGATTTGCTCACATGAATTTTTTATTACTTGTTTTAATGAGCATAAGTATTTTCCCTGAATGCATATCTGTGCACCGCATGTGTGCAGTGCCCGAAGAGACCAGAGTTACAGATGGTTGTGATCTGCCATGTGGGTGTGGAGAACTGAACCCAGGTCCTCTGAAAGAGCAGCCATCACTCATTTCTTACCTTACCAAAGTACTTTACTAAAAGGTCGCTTTGTTTGTCCTCTGCTCTATGATGCAAGAGAGCAGTTGTCTCCATCCTGATGTTTGCTAAGGAGCCACTCAGAGAGTTTAGTGGGTAAAGGTATTTGCCAACAAGGTTGACCATCTGAGTTTGATCCCCAAGACCCACAAGATGGAAGGAGAGAATCTGACCCGCATACAAGAGTCTGTGGCATGTGTGCGAGTGTACACACACACATACACACACACACACACACACACACACACACACACACACACCTCTCAAAAAGCAGGTCTTCTACGTCAGTGGTGGAAGATACTCCATTCTTGCTGTAAACTGTTCTCTGGTGGTCCTGAATATGCCCATGTTTATGGGCTGTGTCATTGTTTGTAAATTACAATTTCATATTTAAATCCTTTAGCTCTTAGTGTTTGCTAAGTCTAGTTTTAGGCCTAGTTTATGCCTCTCACTCTCCCATTTAGGACAGCCTCTCTCTTCTTGCCCTCCCCCTTTCCCTCCCTTTTCCTTGTATCCACTCCCTCAGCTCCTGTCTGTCCCTGTCCCTCTCCATTCTTGTTGCTGAGTGCTTTGTCACCAGTCACTCTGCCGATCCCTCTGTTCCATGGCCCCCATGCCTCTGCCTCCCACACCGACTTGTCATTGACACTGATCCTTCTCTGTCTGTGACCCCTCAGAACACACCTGCTGGCAGCAGCATCTTTAAGGTCCATGCAGAGGACAAGGACACAGGCTCTGGAGGGAGTGTCACCTACTTCCTACAGGTAAGATAGGACACACAGATGCAACCAGGGCCTTGAGATGGAGAGGACACCTGGATGTCCTCCATTTCCATCACCAGCTAGCATGTCCCCCATGCCTGCCAGTGTCTCTGTTCTCAAGGGTACCCCACAGGGATGAAGACCAAAAGGAGACAGAAGACCTCTTCCCCTAATAGGCCCATCTTGGCTTCCTCTGAGTTGGCCTAGACCCTCTCTCTCTCTTTAGGATTATTGGACCCTTGGCTCTCTACATCCCCCACCCTTCTCCCTGAAGAAGTTCTGGACATGTAGCACCCACGCAGGAGGCAAGAAATCTGTTTAGGACTCAAATGGTCAATAGGAAAAAGAAGAGAAGGGACTATGCCAAATAAGAGAGCCGGGGTGCCCCAGCCCCCACTCTCCTCCCTCTATGCTGTGTTGGCAAAGATGGGGCCTTCTCCCCTGAACTGCTGCCTTCTCCTGCTCTCCCAGGAGCCACTGTCCACCCTCAAATGGCTGCTGTTTTTGCAGCACATCCTATTCTTTCCATATTTGCTCACCTGCCCTCAGATTCTCAAGGCGATACAGCCTCGTGGCTAATACTACAAGTTCTAGAGAAATCCTCTGAACTCGTAAGAACTAGAGAAGAACCCTTCCCCGACAAACACACACTGACCACTCATGTTCCTTCAACACATTCCTTAACTCTTCTGCTGGGAGTGAGAAGCATCCCATCATAAGGATCAAACATGTGTAAAGCTCCAATTGCAGTATCTGGAGTCTGTTTCCCAACCTTCCCCAACTGGAAGAGCCCCTGAGCACCTTAGCAGAGGCAAGTGCTTTTACAGCCTGTTCCTGGTCACCCACCATCTCCTGTCAGACTTATAATCACCACAGCCATTTTTACCTGGTCTGGTTTGAAGGTCCACAGATCTCTCTCTTTTGCTACTACACTTAAGCCCCAGTTTCAAACAAAATCAGAACACTGTGAATGTTTCTTCCTGCTACATGTTAGCAGGCTTTGCTAAGAGGGAGAGAGCTGGTTTTGCCTGAAGATGTAGAAAGTTGAGCAAAACTTTTGTTGATGGAAAACCCTGAGTTCAGACAGGCAGGACACTTGAACTTGGAATCTAAGCCTGGGAGCCAGGGATAAAGGTCAATGACTCCTTCAGTGGGCAGTGTGAGAACTCCTGGCATGGCCTGGTTGCTCCTTGAGTTCAGCTGCTCCCCAATTTTACAGAACCTACACTCCTCCAAGTTCACCATGGACCGCCACAGTGGTGTGCTGCGTCTCCAGACTGGAGCCACACTGGACTATGAGAAGTCGAGGGCTCATTTCATCACTGTGGTCGCCAAGGTAACAAAGGAAGATCTAGGGGGAGCATCCAGTGGTAATTTCATCCTTTGCTAGGATGGAGAACAGTGAGGTTCTATGAAAGAACGGGCATTTTCAACAGCAAGAGACACAATGTTGGCGAGGTGGGGGTGGGGAAGGGCAAGAGGCAGCTGCTTGGAATCTCTCCTGCCTGAACACATTTTCCAGGAAGGCTGGTGTCTCTAGGCTAGAGGGGCCACATTTCCTTCTAGGGGATGTAGTATGACTCCCTAGAAACTGAAGTTAGGTCCCTTCGTAGGGGAGGGAGCCGTGACACAGACCTGTGTCCCTCTTACAACCTCCGGTGCCTCTCTCTCTCCAGCCAGAGTGGCTCATGCTGCTCTTCCTTGCCGTGTGATCAGCTGTCCTCTCTGAACTCGGTTTCCCCAAGTGCCCACTTCTGAAGCCTAATGAAGTTCCTCACTTCAGTTTAGGAAGCACATAGTTGGAAGGTGGGAATGAGCAGGCGCTCAGCCAAGCCTCTTGCCCCAGGGAGAAGGAGAATCCAGCCGTCCTGTTTGATTTACTGGATTCTTTGGCAGGAAGCCCCCTTTCAGATCACAGCTTGGCTGTAGGCCACCCTCCTAGAGCCTGTACCAGGAGGCTGGGTGCCACTCTACCTGGTAGCTGCTCACTTCCCTTACTCTTAAACAGAGGAGGACCCAAGTCACATTCCTGGGACTCCACGGCCGCCATCATAGACTGGACATCTGGAAGGTTCTTAGGAGCTGCTTGAGGCTTGGTTTCCAGCTAGGAATAGGGATTTCAGTCTGATTCTTCCTCCCCGGCACTAATCACACATAGAGAATGTACCCGGAGAGTTAATTCTGTGTCCAAAGAAACCAGTCAGACATCTGACACAAAGCCCCCATGTGGTCATTTCTTTGGCATGCCAAACACCACTGAAAAAGGAGAATGGACTCCAAAGACCCAAGAACAAGTAGACACTAGAAGGGACCAACTGGCTTCACCTTCCTTCTCTGTCCTAATTCCTCCCCAGGATGGTGGCGGCAGGCTTCGAGGGGCTGATGTGGTGTTCTCAGCCACCACCACAGTCACCATCAATGTGGAAGATGTTCAGGATACGGCCCCTATGTTTGTGGGTACACCTTATTATGGTTATGTATACGAGGACACCCTTCCGGTGAGTGGCTGCATTACCTACCCAGTGTTCCTTGTGTGACTCCCTGGGACTACCTTGAGGGTGGCTGGATTCACCGCACACTAGCCCGACTCCCCTCTGGGAGGCTGGCTAGGAGTCAATCAGGAGGCCAAAAGTTTTTGGAGACTAATGTTTTGATCCTGAGGCCAGGGAGTGGCAAAGTTCATTCAGGTGGTTCCTTCAGCCTTGGGAGGCCAGGTGTGGAGAGCCCTAAACAAGTCACAGCAGGGTCACCTTCTGGAGCGCCCAAAGCCTAGCTCTTTTCCTGAGTGCGATGATGCCTCCTGTCCATGATGGGGCAGTGTTGGGTTAGGGGAGACACCCCTATCACCATCAGCCTCAGACAGCGGCTCCTGTTCTTCAAGGGCTCGGAGGTGCTGACGGTGGTTGCCATAGACGGAGACCGAGGCAAACCCAACCACATTCTCTACAGACTCTTGAACGGTAAGTGAGGGTAACTCTCTGCCACATCTCTGCCTCTGTGCAACTGGATTCTGGTTTCCTCACCTATGGGACCGAGATGACAAGAAGCTGGGGGTGGGGCATGGGGGCTAATCTCCTCAGATGACACCTTTGCTCTGTGTTTGTCATTACATCCAGTGAGAGGGAACACCACAGGGTCCCAAGAGAAAGCGTACACTCTTTTTGCCTCAGACATAGCTGCCAATGGCATGAGTAGCAACGTGTCTCCCACATTCAGCATTTCTGTGTTTTGTTCTTTTTCTTTTCTGTTTGACTGGGGTAGATGACTGAATGACTTAGATACAATGATGTCGTGGCATTTCCATAATACTAGCCCTGTATGTAGAAAACAGGTCCAGAAGGCTGACAGGTATTGACTACTTCTTGATTTTAGTCTAAGTCAGATGACTCTAGAATGTTCTACTACTACAGCTGGACAGCAGTCAAGCAGGCCACAGTGTCCCTGGGGCAGGCTCCATGGCCTCAGGAGACCAGGTTAGCACACCTGAAGCCTGATCCCAGATGAACTTATATCTGTAATGCACCACCCTTCCCCTAAGACATGCTGGCACACAGTCACCTTCCAGGAGTTCAAATAAAAACATGCCCATGGCCACCAAGAAATCACCATGTAGGGCTACTTTGCCAGGTGTCTTCCCTGCCTACCACCTCTGAAACTGTCCTCCAGTTACAGTACGCTCGTCCCACGTCCCTTCTCTCTTCTCCTTTATACCCTCCATCTCCTGCACCTTCTCCAAGCTCCTCTCTGTCCTTCTCCTCTTCCCTCCTTCCATTCCCCTCTCTCCATCTTTCTTTCTTATCTCCCTCTCTCTTTTTAGCTCTTCTTGTTCGTTTTCTTCCTACACACACACACACACACACACACACACACACACACACACACGCACGCACGCACGCACGCACGCACTTTTATGTATAAGAAAACGCACATGGGTTGGATCCTGAGAGCTGGACAAAAGTTCAAGTTCAGATCTGTACTGGCTGAGGGACGTTAGACAAGTTACTTGGCCCCTCTGGGCAAGACACAGATGGCTGACAGGGTTCCGTTCTATGAGGAGCTCTCCGTGAGATGCCAGAGGACTGTGTGGCATGACTCCCATGCTACCTTCTATGACCTCGTGCTAAACTGCAGGACATTTTTCTGTGACAGAGAGTGATGGAGTCTTCGAAATTAATGAGACATCTGGAGCCATCTCCGTCCTTCAGAGCCCTGCCCAGCTCCGGAGAGAGGTGTATGAGCTTCACGTGCAGGTGACACCCCATTTGCTTGGTTTACCCCCCCCCCCCCCACTCTTTAGTCCTGGAGTGCAACAAAAACTGATGAGACCCAAGGGCTCAGTCTGGGGAGGGATTGAAATGTTACTCCAAGGAGCACCTACACCAGGCTGCAACAAACACTTGCAAAGAGAAACATAAGATCACAAGCAGGGTTATTGAAAATGCAGAGGGTGCATCACTCCATGGGCTTGAGCCTGGGCTCCATACAAATAGAGAGAGCTAGAAGTGTTGTAAGCAGCAGTGAGCTAGCAACATGAACACATACATAATTCCTTTTGCTCTGGACTGTGAATGTGATCTGACCAGATGCCTCAAGCACCTACTTCTGTAACTCCCAGCAGTGATTAACTGTATCTGGAACAGTAAGCAGGAGTAAACCCCTATCTCTCCTAAGATGCATTGAGTCAGGATGTTCTGGGACAGCAGCTGAAAGAAAATTAGGACAGGCATGGAGGGAATGAGACAGTCCCCTGAGAGGATGGTTGTGCCAGGAGAGGAGCTGCTGGCAACATCCGCAACTGCAGAGCCTCAGAGGCTAAGGGTGAGGAGGCTGTGGGGAGCAGGTGGAAGAAACAGCAGGGACTGGAGAAGTCTATGAGAACATGCCAAGAACTGACTCACATAACCAAGGGAGCTGAGCCCTCTGACGCTAGGATGGTAGCACCAGATGTGGTGTGGAAGTCTGTGTGAAGAATCTAAATGGGGATGGGTGAGAACTGAGTGGGATAGGAAAGAGAAACAGCATGCAGAGGCTTCTGAGAAGGAGTAGGCCTACAGACAGGTGTGGAATGGGGTCTGGGAAGGTCATTTTAGAGCAGTGGTTCTCAACCTATGGGTCATGACCCCAAAGACCATTGGAAAACACAGATATATACATTATGATTCCTAACAGCAGCAAAATTACAGTTATGAAGTAGCAATGAAACTAATTTTATGGTTGGGATCACCACAACATGAGGAACTGTAATAAAGGGTTGTAGCATTAGGAAGGTTGAGAACCACTGCTCTAGAGCATCTTTTTAGAAGTATAGAAGTATAACATCCTTATCCAGCACAGGAAGGAGCCCCTAGAAAAGGGATATTTGTCACAAGTTTCATGGGAGTGTCTATGATCACCCAGTCTTGGCTTTACAGCCTGGATTAGTTAGCTAATGCTTCATGAGAAATCACCCCAAGCTTAGTGGCCTAAAACAATATACAGGGGTAGGGAATCCAGGTTCAGCTTGACTGGATCTTGGATTCCAAGGTCATTCACATAGCTGCAATCCGAGACAGTCAGGGCTGGGATCTCACTGGAGGCATGGCTGGGGAAGGACTGGCTTTATGGCTCACTTGGTTTTTGGTATGACTCAGTTGTTCACTGGCTGTTGCCTATGGGTGACCATTAGCTCCTTATCCCATAGCCTCTCTAGCATAGCTGCCTGCTTTGCGAAAGCCTTGGGAAAGGGAAACTCTGCTAGCAAAAAGGAATTATAATCTCTAGTAATCTAACCACACTGCCAGTCAAAAGCAAGTTTTCAGGTCAGACCATGCTTAAAGAGAGGAATTACAAGGGTATGGACACCAAGAGGAAAAATTATTAGGCCCAGTAACAGTCTGTGTGCCACATAGCAATAGCCATCTGTTCCCATCCCAGGTGACAGAGGTCAACTCTCCAGGAAGCCCAGGTGCTCAGGCCATGGTCCCAGTCACCATCAGGATTGTGGACCTCAACAACCATCCTCCAACCTTCTATGGAGAGAGTGGACCCCAGAACAAGTTTGAACTATCTATGTATGAGCACCCACCCCAGGGGGAGATCCTTCGTGGACTCAAGATCACTGTCAATGACTCTGACCAGGTGTGTGGCCATGCCCTTGCAATTGACTGGGTCTACGTCAGTGCTCAGTTTCAGTGAGAGGGTCCAGGAAAGTCACAAATGAATGAAAGAAGATATTCAGCTAAGAAGTAGTGGAGCAAAGGTAGTCAATCCCATACTATTTGCTTAGACATTAATAATCAGTTGCAAAGTAAAAGGCAGTCAAAGAATGGGTCTTCTGCATTTGACCTTCTGCATGCACATCTGTAAATGTCTTTGCCTCCTCCAATGCTCAGCACAGAGCCAAGCTGTATTTATCTTTTACCTTGCTTAATTGTCATGCCCTGCTAAATCTGATTCTTAATTCACCTTTATAGAGAAAGACTACTTACTGCTTAGGGTTAAGGGCATGTAAGGGCTCCTCAGCTTGCACAAATATATAATATATTTCTATTCTTATTTATCTTCTATTTTCTCTCTTCAAACTCCATTGCCTAGGGAGCCAATGCCAAGTTCAACTTACGGCTGGTGGGACCTGGAGGCATCTTCCGAGTCGTGCCACAAACGGTCCTGAATGAAGCCCAAGTCACCATCATAGTAGAGAATTCAGCTGCCATTGACTTTGAAAAGTCTAAGTTGTTAACCTTCAAGGTAGGTGGGGCATTGCCCTGCCCTGAATGGGAAGGTAGGGCTGGGAGTGGCTATCTCCACACCACTGTTTGAATTCAATGTGTGGGGGACCATTGTCATTCCCAGTCCTGAGTGGTTCCACTCCTTTTCTCCCAGAGTCTCTGCCCATCCTGTGGGCATGTGGACAATAGGAGGTAGGGTGGGGGTGGGGGTGGGGACATTACCCTGCCCCCAACACACACAGCTTCTGCAAAGTGCTCACAGCCTCATCCTTACTGAGGTGCCAGCTTCTAAACCACCACTGGCTGAGGAATTTGAGAGCTGGGGAGTCAAGGGCATACTACCAATATAGTTTGCTGTGTTAATAGAGGGAGAGAGAAACTGTGTGATTATCAAAAATGCAGGTTCCTCAGGTGCCTTTGACATTTGTGATCTGTTCCAGTAACAACCTTCACAGAAGTGAGGAAATATATTTTTGATGTCATTTATAATTATTTAAAACTATGAATATGTATAAATTATTTCTGTCATATATTAACATGTGAGTAATATACTAATTAAGAGGGAAAATAAGTACTTCCATAATATTATTTAACTCGTCATTATTTAAAATTCTATATACACACAGAGTGTGTAGCCAGCATCATGATAAAAAGTGAAATACTAGAAGGCTTTGTCTGAAGTTGGGAGTAAAAAGTAAAACACAAATAAAACACAAATGTCACCAAGATGACTTAGCTCAATGTTCAGAATGATGCCATTCCAGACAAAGAGGAAATAAGAGCCGAAAATTTTAGGAAGGAGGAGCTAAAAAGTATTATTGTTTTCTCAGAAAAAAAATCTAACAAAAATGATTGAAAGACTATCATAAGTAAAGCAAAGTCCAACACAAAGTTAGCACTCTACAGCAACAGTTTTCTTAGGGAGTGAGAGGAGGTGGAAGAGAATGTGAATACAGTGGAATAAGAGACACTTTTGCAAAAGTAATTAATGCAACACTATTAGGAATTACCCTAATGAGAAACATGTGACACTTAAATGAAAAATGCAAGTATTCCCAGTGGGATCTAAGGAAGGCAAGGCTAGGAAGGTGGTCCTGCCTTCAAAAATGCAAATCTCCCTAAGCTGGTTTTTGGTTTTTGGTTTTTTGGGTTTTGTTTTTTTTTGGTGTTGTTGTTTTTAAGACAGAGCCTTGCCATGTAGCTCAGGCCGACATGGATTTCACTGTGTAGCTCAAACTCACAGTCCTCCTGCCTCTGCCTCCTGAGTACTGGGATAATAGGCAGGTGCCGCTATGGCTAGTCAAGTCAAATTACCTTTGACCTAGAATTTCCTTTGGTGAGAAAACTTGATAGGATTATACTGGTTTGTATCTGGAGAAATCAACTTATAAGAACAGCTGGAAACTTGAATTAGAAAGGAATATGTAGCTCCGTAGAACAGACAACCACAATAGCGATCCCAGGCCTGGGTACATTGGGAGTGACAAGAACACTAGAATGGCAGACTCACCAGGGAGGGGTGAGGAGGGACTGTGAAGAAGGTAGCAAGGATGGCCCCCCGGGAGCCAGAGTAAGCACCGGATGCAGGCTGGGAGTGGTGGTACATGGCCGTAATCCTAGCACTCAGGAGGCTGAGGAAGAAAGCTTGTCAGTTAAAGCTGGAGTTTGTAGTAAGACCCTGACACCAAAAAAATCCAATGTCACAGCAACAAAAGACAGAGAGAAGAGCACACAGTTGCAAGACCGGTTCTCGGAGGGATGGGTGGTAGTGGGCTTTTAGTGGGCAGCTGCCCTCCCAGTCAACTGCGTTTCTCCATCTTCCTCCAGCTCCTGGCTATAGAAGTGAACACCCCGGAGAAGTTCAGTTCCACAGCAGACATTGTGATCCAGCTTCTGGACACCAATGATAATGTCCCCAAGTTCACCTCTCACTACTACATTGCCAGGATCCCAGAGAATGCTCCAGGGGGCTCCAACGTGGTGGCTGTCACAGTAGGTTGGGGACTGGCTCACAAGGCCTACAGTCATGAGCTGTGATCTTTTTGTTTGTTTGTTTGTTTTGTTTTTCAGGATGGGGTTTCTTTGTGTAGCCTTGACTGTCCTGGTACTAGCTCTATAGAGTAGGCTGGCCTCAAACTCAGAGAGATCCATCTGCCTCTGCCTCTGCCTCCTGAGTGTTGGGATTAAACGTGTGTGTCACCACTGCCCAGCTGTTAGCTGTGACCTTGAATAAGCTCCTTGCCCTCTCTAACTCTCTGATTCTTCACCTAATGATAGTCCGTCCTCCCTCACTGTTATGTAGCTGGGACCATAGGAGGAAAAGGTCTTGTATCATGGCAAAAGGCACAGTCTCTTATAATTTGCTCATTAAGGATTATCTCCTTCCCTTTGCCATGTGTTGTAGAAGCAAGCCATGAGGCCAGTTCCTGCTAGTGATAATGGAGATGTATGTGTGAACACCAAGCACAGGGTCTGAGGTCCACTCCCCTCTCCTCCTCACGTATGAAAGAAGAACAGATGTTTTCCAGACACAAACCTTTTTTGTTTGCTCACATTTGCCTCCTCCCTGAAGAAAACCAGGGCGCAGAGCGACCCCCAGGCTACTTCCTCCCCAGCGGGACACACACCAGGCTATGCCAGCTTTCCATTGACTACCACTTGCCTCACCACAGTGCCGGTGCCATTAGGAGTCTTCTTTTTTCCAGGCTGTGGATCCAGATACAGGACCATGGGGCAAAGTCCAGTACTCCATCTATGGGACCGGGTCAGACCTGTGAGTAGATCCAGAACACCAGACAAAGCAGTTCACAAGGCTCTGGGTGAAGGGAGCCTCTGCTTAAGTAGAGGGGACCAATAAAAGGATAAGAGCCAGCTTAGGGAGGTGAGCATCCCAGGGTACAGGTTAGAGAGGGGCAAGGAATGGAAGGAAGCTGTGGAGAGCCTGAGGTAGAGATAAGGGACACACTAGTGAGGTGACTGGAAAAGAAGAAGGCCTGAGGTGTCGGTCTTGACCTCAGAAGGCAGGTAAGCAGGGATAGGATGGGGTGGGGGTGGGGTGACAGGCCAGGGGTAAGGAAGACAGACTGCAGTTTGGATTGTTGAGCTCCATAGTCAACGGCTGGATCTGCCTGCTAGAGTCAGATTGTAAGGATGGGGCAGGAGCAGGTGGGATGCTTGCAGAAGCTGCCCGATGTCTCACTGAAGACTTTTGGATGCATCTTATATTACTGCAGGTGTGTGTGCGTGTGTGTGTGTGTGTGTGTGTGTGTGTGTGTGTGTGTGTGTGTGTGTATGTAGGCATAGGCATGAGCATGCATGTACAAGTGTGCATGAGCAACTGTGCTTTCTGCTTTCTGTGTCTGGTAGATTCTTGATTCACCCATCAACTGGGCTTATCTACACTCAGCCCTGGGCCAGCCTGGATGCTGAGGGCACTTCGAGGTACAATTTTTATGTGAAGGCAGAAGACATGGATGGGAGGTACAGCCTGGCTGAGGTGTTTGTCACTCTGTTGGATGTCAATGACCATTACCCTCAGTTTGTACAGAGCATCCAGGAGAAGACGATGGTGCTGGGAACCCCAGTGAAAATTGAGGTGGGTTTCAGAGGCAGCTGAGCACCCCTGACTGGGCCATGAGAATTTAACTTAAAATGAATGTATCCTGATAAGGGCACTAGGCTACATGGCACTATGCATAGCTTCTTTTCCACCCCAACTAGAAAACTTCCCTAGGAAAGAACACATCATCAATGAAACACCTGAGGCTCAGGGGGTTCGAGTCCTGTTCTTGCCTGAAATCGTGTAACTGACCTGCCTGCCTACAAAGCATGCTTTCCCCGCTGCACACTATCTTCTCAATGCAGAAAAGTCATATGTTCTGAATCCCAAGAGACGTGCTTTGAATACCGGATATCCCCCTTCCACCTCATCTTGGACCAGTCACTTGGCATCTAAGCTTTCATCTTTGCATGTATAGTAAGGAGTCACCAACACCCACTTCACAGACTTCTTCTGAGGACGGAGCCACATAACACCTGCTAGGGCCTAACATAGACCATGGCTCAGAGTAGCACACACATTCAACTCTATCTACTCCAAATAGGATTGGAATCCTTTCCCACTAACCCAGAAAGCTTCACTTTATATACCGATTTAGCCAATATTCGAAGACATCTTCCCCAAGTGATCCTCTACCCCCCCCCCCCCCCCGCCCTTCCCAGGCTACGGACCAGGATGCAGAGGAGCCAAACAACTTGGTAGACTACTCCATCACCCATGCAGAGCCAGCCAATGTGTTTGACATTGATGCACACACGGGAGAGATCTGGCTCAAGAATTCCATCCGCTCCTTGGAGGCCCTACACAACATCACACCCAGTGGGGACTACTCATGGTCCCTACAGGTACAGGCCAAGGACCGGGGCTCCCCATCTTTCAGCACAACAGCCTTACTCAAGATTGACATCACAGACACAGAGGTGAGTACAATGCTGTGGTCAGGAAAAGGGGGCAGAGAGCAACTTGTGCCAAAGGATACTGAGTCCTGTCAAGGACTTTCTGTGAAATCAAACCCATAGGCTTGGGAATCAAGTTGAAATTCTTCCTTCAATATTAGTGGTGTGACTCTAGGCTATCTAAGCCTCCATTACCTTTCCTGTGTTAGAAGGTAAAAGTAAAACCATTATATATAGTTCTCAGCTCGGTGTCTGGCAGGAATTCATCAAACACGAGGTTCCTGGTTCATTTTGGTTTATAATCTTCCCTGTAACCAAAGACAAGCAATATTCTGTTATTTCAAGGTACAACTCCAGCAAAGCAGGAGTTTGAAATCTGCAGGAGGCTACTGTGGTCTGTCTCAGTTTATTTTGCCTGAAGTTCTCAAAGGGACGCCTTGGCGCAGGATGTTTAAACCTGTCAGGCTTAGGGAAGCTCACACAATCGCTGTCCTCCAGGGAAGAGGAGGAAGCAGTTGACACAGGGTGTGGCTTTCTCTTCCAGACGCTGTCCCGAGGCTCCATGGCTGCCTTCCTGATACAGACCAAGGACAATCCCATGAAGGCTGTGGGTGTGTTGGCTGGAGTCATGGCCATTGTTGTGGCCATAACTGTCCTCATCTCCACCGCCACCTTCTGGCGTAACAAGAAGTCCAACAAGGTCCTGCCTGTGAGACGTGTGCTCCGTAGACGGCCCAGCCCTGCACCCCACACGGTTCGAATAGAGTGGCTCAAATTCAGGAGGGCCAAGGCTGCTACCAAGTTCATACTCAAAGAGGATCCTCCCAATGAGAACTGCAATAACAGCAGGGCAGGAATCACAGTGCCCCCCAGAGCTCCAGCTCTTCCGCCACCCCCCAAAATGGCATCCACTACAGTGGCCCAACAGACAGTGCCTACTGTATCTGGATCCCTCACCCCGCAGCCACCCCAACAATTACCCAAGCCCAAGCCCTTAGGAGGCGCCATTCAGTCCTCTCTGGTCTCTGAGCTCAAGCAAAAGTTTGAGAAGAAGAGTCTAGACAACAAGGCTTACTTCTAGAGTGGGTCCCATGATTCTTCTCTTCTCTTCCCTTCCCCCAGTGCTGACCCTCAAGGTCACTTCTATTTTGTACAATGTTGTAACCCCATATACAGGGCTCTGCAAAGGGCTTTGAGCCAAAGAGTCCTCAGATGGGATGCAGTTGGCAACCACAGGCCCACTACCCAAATCCTTGGCACAGCTACAAGGCTTTCTATTCTTCAGAGACTAGAAGCCCACAGGGAGTCAAGTCTGTGTGTTTCTACTCACCAATCCTAGACCCCATAGGCACTGGAATCCTACTGGGACCTTGTCATCCTTAGTTGAGAAGTAGGGCCCAGACCACGGGTGACAAGACTGGCAAGAGTCTAGATCCTGAAGCTTCAGCTAACAGCAGGTTAATGGAGGTTTGTCCTCAGCTAAAGCTGAAAGTCAGTGAGCTTTGTGGGCTATAGAAAAGGGCCAAAATTCTCTGAAAACTCATGCTAACTCTTTAACTAGATGCAATAGAACTGGCATCTAGAAAAGACTGTGCTCCAGGCATGTAGGTGTAAGGTGAGCTTTTCTAAGAGTGAGAGCAGATGTCTCCAGGCTAGCTTGAAGAGACAGGGCAAGGCGGTAGGTGGATATCAGGCCTGAGCTCAGGGAAGACTTGTGTGTGGATCCAGTTCTTCTCAAAACACACGACCTTAGAGATACTGTTTACACTCTAATCGTCTTCTTCCTTGCTGTAAAATGAAGCAAGCAAACCCTAAGAAAACAGCGACTCTGAAGGCTTTCACCAAGTGCAGAACAGCATGATTACAAAGTATTTGTCCTAAGCCAGTTCTCTGGCTACACTTCATCCAGAAAGTATTAGCACCTTCAGCAACTCCACCAAGTGTCCCCAGGAGGGACTACACTGAGATTGGAGACAACCACCATCCTAGACAGCCACAGTCTGATCATGGCTTTCCCTGGACTCACACAACTTTCCCTCCATTCGCCCCTCATCCCATGTCACTCTCAAAGAAGCAAAGTCAGGCAGTAATATCCAGTCCAAGTCTATTTTGCTGACACAGAGAATTGAGTCTCCCAGAGTACTTTGCTCCATGAACACAGTGGATTGGTAGCAGGTATCTAGTCTGAGAGCTCCTGGTCCACACCGTTTTTCTGTAGTTGGGACACACCTTGTTAGCGTGTGATAATCCTACAGGAGAGAAATCCTGCAATCTGCCATGGTTAATACATAGAGGTTCTGTTGTCCTTTGAGAAAACACTTTAAGGAAATTTAGATATGTACACTCGGCAAAGCCCTCTAGAATTCTGTGGTTTCTGATGTGATAGATTGTATGAATATATGGTTTTCTTGATGCCCCAGTCTGTGTTCTGAGGTGTTACACAGATGTGCTAGTATGCAGAGTCCTCACCCCGAGATCTGCTGTTGCTGGCCTATGCAGTATTGAGGTATGTACACTAAAAGTCCAGCCTGGAAGGCACTATCTAGCCCATGTTTCAGGAAAGTGCTGGGCTGGATCACGTTTGCCAACCCAGGGAGTTCAACATCCTATAATACGCATGCAGTCAAACTCTTTTGTAAGTGGTAAATAAAATCCATTATTCAAAGGATAAACTGACCTCCTGGTTCTCTTGTGTTTATGTTTACTGACTTGTGGAGACCAATATCACTGACCCCATAGCTCATTCAGTGGGAGATACTAGTCATTACCTCCATTCTGACACTGAGGGAGATTGCAACATTTTGTTTAAATTGTCTGCTTACATCTTAATTTCCACACCTTGCCAGACCTTGTCTTGTCCTGGATTTAAATTCTATTTTTCCTAATCTAGAAGGATCCAATCAGGATTGCTTAGAGGAAGAAATAGGTGTGAAGTATGGGCTAATGACCCCTAAAGCAGTCCAGGAGGGGCAGGATTTGTAAGGTCTCGTGTGGGCATGAGGCCAGAGAAGCCGTTTACTTCTGGCAATGTGGTAGGGAAGACCTTTGGATTGGAAGTTCTGTTCAGCACTGTGGTCCTTAGGAGGAGAATGGGTTTGTAGCCAAACTCAGGACCTTGACCAAGGAGAGCCAGTCTTGGAAATGATCACAGAAGAAGAAAGGGCCTAGTAGCCAAAATCAGCCACTGGAAGAGAAGAGGATAGAGCCAAACAAGACCAACAAAAGTGGTCAGCACTGGAGAAGACCCTGTCAGTGGGGTGAGGCCTCCAAGTCCCACAGCACAAGGAAGTGGCAAGCTGAAGGGCAGCCTACTCTAGCATACTGAGATAGGTCCAGATCTACAGTCTGCCTTGATGATAGGTTTCCAAGTGAGTAGGTGGGAGGAAGACAGGAACAGCTACTGAGAATGCCATCCTCTTTTCAAAGCCCGCTAATGGAGCATTAGCCTCATGTGCAATCAGTAGGGGTGATTCTAAGGGATCTGAAGTCATTTTTCTGTCCCTGTGAACTTGGACTCATGTGTGTATGTGTGTATGCAGGTACACTGTTGGGGATACCCATGCATATGAGGAGATCAGAGGTCCCTCTCAGATGTCTCCTTCAATTACTCTCCATCTTGTTTATTGAAATAGGGTCTCTCACTTTTACCTAGACTAGCTGGCCAGCAAGCTCTAGTAATCTGCCTATGTATCTGTGCCTATTTGGGACTACAAGCATGTTCCATAATGCCTGCCTGATGGTTTTTTTTTTTAAAATGTGATTCTGGAGATCAGACTCAGGTCTTCAGGCTTGCATAGCAAGCACCTTACTGACGGAGCTATCTCCTCAGCTCTCCAAGCTCAGACTTTCTCATTTTATGAAATAATAAGGTGCTTTTGCAGTTTGACAATCTTAGGTGTGAATACAGGTTTTGCTACTTATGTGTGAATTTGTGCAAGACCAAGGTTGTCTGGGCCTCACTGTTCTCATCAGCACAGAGTGCAAAGGCTTATTGCTGTGAGGGCAGCAAGAGCTAATTGATGCAAACACCTAGTGTCAGCTTTGCAGCTACTGGTAGAAGCTCAGCTGCTATTCTGAGTTGTGTAAGGTGCATTTGAGGATGGCTTGCTGTGGCCCACATACAAGAGCACATGTCCTGGAGGAAAGGACCTTTGTCCACAGCCTTACACATGGAAGGTCCACAGAGAAGGGAGGGGGACAGGTGGAAAGAACTGGAGGAAAGCAGGTAGATAGCCTACAACCCATCTGTAACTTGGAGCCTTTTGGGATCCTCGTTCCAAGCAAGAGCTGACAAGATGTCACTAACAGAGTCTGCAGAACTTTGTCCTGAAGCTGCTCTCCCTCAGAGCCAAGCTGGCAAATGTGGTAAAAGGTGGGGATAAGAAAACTGCCCTCATTTCTCAAGACCTCCAAGGGTTTTGTCTACTTAAACAAAGGTGCTTTGTTGTTGATGTTTTGATGTTGAGATAGGATCTTCCTGTGCTGATCAAGCTGGTCTTGAACCCATGGGCTCTAATAATCCTCTTGTCTCAGCTTTCCAAGTAATTGAGACTATAGACTCCACAATTGTCACAATGGGAGCTTTGAGAGAATCCAGACTCTGAAAACCTACCATGGATGTTGTATCAGTTGTCAAGCAACTTCTCTGATGGTTATCAAGACTCTTCATTGGGAAATGGACTGAGATAAGAGAGAAGATGACGCATGAGGACTAAGGCTATACCTGGTATATGGACACACAGAGGCCCCTTTAGGAGGATCAGGAAGAAGTGAGGGATGGGGCTGGGTGGCTGCTCTAAAAGACTCAGTTTATAGCATGAGGTGACAATGTAATTTTTTCTACCTTTAGTACAATAGTGTCTTAGTAGAGTTTCTGTTGCTGCAGTGAAACACCATGACTAAAAAGCAAGTTGGGGAGGAAAGGGTTTACTTGGCTTACACTTCCATATCACTGTTCATCATCAAAGGAAGGCAGGGCAGGAACTCAAAGAGGAATGAACCTGGAGGCAGGAGCTGATGCAGAGGCCATGGAGGGGTGCTGCTTACTGGCTTTCTTCACAAGGCTCATTTAGCCTGATTTCTTATAGAACCCAGGACCACCAGTCCAGGAATGGCACATCCACGATGGGCTAGGCCTTCCCCATCAATCACTAATTAAGAAAATGCCCTACAGGTTTGCATCATATGAAGGCATTTTCTTAATTAAGGTTCCCTCTTCTCAGATGACTTTAGCTTGTGCCAATTCAATGTAAAACTATCCAGCACAAATAGGGAATTTCCATTTAAAAAGGTTTATTTCTTCTTCTCAGAAGGAAAAAAAAGAACCTAAAGAAATGAAGGATGATTAATTTCAATATCAGTGTTGTCATTAATTCTCAAAATGTTATTTGACCTGCCATTGGTTCTCAGTACATCCTGATGAGCACAGTGGTTGTAGTAAGGTCAGGCTCTGACTCATTTGTAGAACAAGAGGATTCATCCTCTGTAGACCAGTGCTCTGCCACCTGCTAGATAGGTGATGGGCAAATCATTGACCTTTCTGAGGTCAAGTTTCTTTACATACAATAAAGATTATTCTGACATTCTTTGAAGGATAATGCATATGAGATATCCTATGTTCTGTAGAACTGAGTATATACAAAAATGACATTCATTAATTTCTAGCCACTGTCAGGCATAATAAAATGACCAGTTTAATAAGACAGAGCTCTATTGGCTTTAGGTGTGTGAAGATAAATACTGTGTTCCCTTTCTTATGTCTGAACTCCCTCCTTCAAGTTCCTTGTTTAGAATACAATGGATACTCAACAAATACTTGTTTGATAAATGGGTGGAGCCAAGTTGTTCTGTCATGGAAGGTTTGTTTCAGGGACTGGAGGTGTTGTGGGATGTTTGTACACTATGTGAAGGTGGATTGCTGTGACTGGTGTAATTAAAAGCTGACCTGCCAATAGCTCGGCAGGACGTATAGGTGGCACTTCCAGAAACAGAAAGGACTTTGGGAAGAAGAAAGGCAGAGTCACCAGCTCTGCAGACACAGAGAGGAGACACGGAAAAAGCAGGATGTAGATAAATAAAAATGGGTTAATTTAAGTTATAAAAGCTAGTTAAAAACAAATCTAAGCTAAGGCCAATCTTTCATAATTAATAAGTCTCTGGATCATTATTTGTGGGCTAATGGTCCAAAGATAGTTCAACATGAAAGCTTGCTACATGGAGGTCCACCCATTTCCATTCCATGGTGGGTTGTTAACTGTTACTCTCTTTTCCTATCTCCTCAATCCCCTCCATGACCCTGTGACCCTCACCATCCTCATAGACAGCTGGAAGATCTTTGAAAGAGCTATCCTTGCACTGTGGTCTGGCTTGGGGGCACCTGAGGGTTTTCCTGTGAAGAGAGTCACAGCATAAACACCACTCACTACAGTTGTATGGCCCCTGGGAAGCCCACACATAAGCACCCACGGGCAGTGCCAGGAGCACAGCACATAAGACCACAGTGACATGCAAGAGGCGCTCACGACCCTCCAGCCCACCACTGTCTTTGCCTGTCACGAAGACCACACACTGGCCCTGGCCTGGAGGCTGACTCCTTAGGCTGAGGCATGCTTTATATTTTGTAGCAGGGAGGAGGTCATCCACAGCATATGTGTTGATTCCAGGGCCTATGTGGATCTCTTTCTTCCTGAAAGCTTCATCAGATTCGATGTAGAGGGTGAACCACTGCTCCTCTGGGATGTTGGCCACTGTGAGCCACTCCAGCATGATGCCATGTACTGTCTGCTTGACGACCCGTAGGTCAACATAGGCACTGCCTTTTGAGGAGATGGAAAAAGGACTCAATCCAGGCATAGCCTGGGCAGGCTGGATGTAGAGTGAGATGACAAGGGAGCTTCTGCCAATGGAGTTGAAGGCCATACAAGTGTAATTACCACTGTCTATCAGATGAGCTGCTGGAATGACAAGCTGGGACAGGATGGTATCTTCTGCAATTGATGAGGCCAACACTGGGTGAAAAGAAGAACAAACCAGCTGTGCATTTCTTTGATAAATAACTGGGAAGTTCTAGCAATGTTCGGTCTTGTGTTAAAAGGATGGTTACTATTTATTAAGCATGTACCTGTGTCAGGGGCTCTCTTTCTAGAAACTCTATGGGGTAACCACTAATTTTGCATATAAGACATTGATGGTTGGAGTAGCTGATTAACTTTTCCATAGTTGTTCACAGACCACAAGTATATGGATCCCATTCTTCTATCTAAGGAGTTCATATTCTTTTAACATTAGTAGTGCCCACTTTGGCCTTGCTGAGCCTAATACCATGGCTTAAGGAGGTTTCTCAAAATGGGGTGATTAAGAGATATTGTGAGGTCCAAATGAGTTCTTACTTCCCAGATGTGCCTCAGAACCTAGAAATCAAATACCCGAGCTCCCGCCTCTTTCAAGTACGTGGTCCTGGGCAAAGTTCTCTTAGTCTCAATCTCCTTGTCAAGAAAATGAGATGTCAAGCACTCCACAAGTTTTATAGAAAACGTCAGTAAGTCTTACCTGTTACTATTTCTGGGAGGCTAGATATAGCACAGTATTAAGAGTAATTATCGTGGGGCCAGCAAGATACCTTAGCAGTTAAGGATTCGATCCCTAGCACTCACGTGGTGGCTCATAGCTACCTTTAA